CACCCTAATAAACACTAGTACTGTACATCCTAATACAGTATACCCAAATACATCCTATTATACCTTGAAATATCACATTTCTTAAATTTGGAAAAGACAGATACAGTACTGTATTGGTGGTGATTAACTGCTTGATGACCTAACGCTATGAATACAATACCATCGTACTAAAGGGGTTAAGCTAATGTAAATAACTGGGTCATTCTTGTGCTCAGGGGGTTGATATAGTACTTAAGAGGTTAAGATATTTTACTACATTAGTTAATTTTTATTTTATTCTTTTTAATCTTCAGTACTTATCAGGTAACTAGCCGTTCGGGTAGCTGGTCTATGTGTTATTGCAGGAGGAAACCAGACTCTGGGGAACCTGAAATGTTGGGTAGGGTCGCACTGGATAACACCCTTCTAACATTTGTCAGGGCTCAAGCACGACTCAAACCCTTGACTTATTGGTGAGAGATACACGCATACCCTGTAGCACCAACACCCCTTATTGTACTTATGGGGTTGGTATTGTTCTCAAGAGATTAAACAAAGCCAAATACTTTAAAATTCAATGGTGTCTTCATTAGAATTTGATCCCATTAAAGTTTAGTGACGAGATGTTGGACCAGTGAGTGATTAGGCATTTGAGGGAGATTAATCAAGCCTTCTGTGTCCTTTGTGTACGTGTAGTTCAAGAAACAGACTGAAATCATTAATATATACTGTACATTGTATATAAATTGGACTAATTATCCTTTAGGGACAGTACATCTTTGGTTATATCTTTGGGACAGTACCACTATTACTTACTCTGAATATATAACTAGATTTCTAATTATATCTGGATACTGTAATAATGTTCCAACTTCATGATATTTTTACCACAAGTGAATTCAGTGATGACAAAAGAGTTTTTTACTCACTGTCTGAGACTCTTTGAGGAGGTCACAGAAGTTTTCTTTATCGATCTCTGCCGTAAAGTCACTTTCTTCTTCTGCCTCAGTTGTCAGGTTTGTTAATTGTTCACTGTTTTTCCTGAGTTGCTTGAGGCAGGCTATACCCCACATATCTGTGTTGCTCTTCAATATATCCATCTGCTGGTCTATGTCCTGTAAAGTCTGTTGTATATTATAGCAGATGCCGGTATTTTTGATACAAGAAGTGTCTGCTAGTTGTGTGGCGCTTCGGTGTCTGTGGTGTGAGAGAGGACCTCATGCCACCAAGCAAAAGGATGACGCTGCCACACAGAGTCGTCCTCTGATTCATTTTTGACAAATTTCATGTTGAAGTGTGACTTATGTCCTCCAACTCGTCCTCAGTCTGTTGGAACAGGTCTTCATCTGTAGGTAGAAATGTATGTCTTGTTATTACTTTATTTATTATATCAGCGGTAAACAGAAAAAACTCAGCTAAGGTCAAATGCCAAATGAAAATGAGTCATTAGCAAGTTTATTTCAGGGGAAACTGAATTACATTGTTAAAGGTGTGATGGAGGCCTATATCCAGTGGTTGACTGATGTGGGATAATGATAATGATGATGTTGATGGTAATGATGTTGAATATGATAATGAAAACAATAATAATGACGATGACAATAATGAATAAATGACAATGATGGTGGTGATAATGAACATGATAATGATGATGGCAGTGATGATGACATCTAACAAAACTTGAAACATATTTACTGTACAATTTCCATTAATTTCTAATATAAAATAACCGTGTCATAACAAGATTTATTAAAAATCATTAACTTGTATTAAAATACAGTGGTCCCTCGGTTACTTGAGCACAATCCGTTCCAGCAGGTTGCTCGTTAACCGAAAAACTCGTTAACCGAAACCATTGTTTCAATGGGTTTTAGTAGTGGTTCAGCTCGAAAATTGCCTAAATTCAACAAAAAAGGTAGAAAGTACACTTTACTAGGTGTGTATAGAAAGGCTCCTGGATGATGATGATGATGATGATGGGAATTAGAATGGGGGTGGAGGAGAAGAGAAGGCATTGAGGGTGGAAGAAAGTCCCATGGCACCATTCACCCATAAAATTTTAGTTTTAGTGGTGTAATTCAAGATTATTTTCTTTAAATCAACACTGCACTGCATTATATATTGTCAATATGTAAAATAAATTTAAAATGACCAATAATTTTCTTGGAAACACAGAAAAAAAGCGTTTAGTTGAAGAGTCTCAAGCAAGATGTTACCTCCAGTGAAAACAGAGACTAACGCCTGTTTGCTGTGTTAAGAGGCTGGATGGCGCCAGAAACTAGTTTCTTTACCTTCAATTATGTTCAATAATTGTTAAAATGACTAAAAAGTTAATATTAAACTTTTAAAATTATTGAATAGTATAAACTTCTTGATATTTACTAAAATAGTAAAGAATTTAAGCCTAAAACCGATTACTGTATTGGCGGACTAATACTACAGTTGGTGGACCGCCAAAACTGCAAAACATGTTGAAGTCGGCTCGTAAAAACTTCGTTAATCGAGGGATTGCTCGTTAACCGAAGTTAAGAATCTTATGGAAGGTAAATCGTTAACCGAAATCTGATTAACCGAGGCGCTCATTAACCGAGGGATCACTGTAAGGTGATATTTGTCCCAATCCTTGTGTGTAATCTTTTAATACCTGACAGTTGCACCAATGTACACCTCAATAGGTTTACTATACTGACCGAAGTAAGTAAGAATACATTGTGACATAAAAGGAGAACAGTAGACAGTTGTGTGGTGGAGGATGGTGGTGTGTGGATGAGGGTGGTGGTGTGTGGATGAGGGTGGTGGTGTGTGGATGAGGGTGGTGGTGTGTGGATGAAGATGGTACAACTTACAGAAATACTGGCTGGTGTCGAGGTGGAAGACTGAACTGGTGTAGTCGGTTTTGCAGGTGTCGTGGTGGTAGACTGAGCTGGTGTAGTTGATTCTGCCGTTGTTGTGGGTATTGTAGATGTTATGGGTATTGTAGATGTTATGGGTATTGTAGATGTTGTACTTTTGGAAGTAGAATCTGAATCATCATCATAATCAAGTAGTAGTTGGTGTCGTTGGGTGGGAGTGAGCGGGGTGACAGCTGAGCAGCACAGGACCGCCATCATCAGAGCGACGACCAACACTCTTCCCCAAATCCTTCATCTTCTTCCCTACAACTCAACACAACAGTCACTCACTACTGCATATTTAAGTCGAGGTCATTGTGAATCACTAGATAGATTAGGTTAGATAGGGCTTGGCCAGGTTAGGTTATGTTAGGCTAGGTTAAAATAGGTTAAATTAGATTGGGTCAGGTTTAACTAGGTTAGGCTAGTTAGGTTAAGTTAAAAAAAATCTACTTTTTATTGGGTTAGGCAGAGTTAGATTAGGCTAAGTTTGTTTGGGTTAAAGTAAGTTATAATAGGCTAAGTTTGGTTGGGTTAGGTTAAAGTAAGTTAGATTAGGATAAATTAAGTTGGATTAGACTAAGTTTAAAGGTTAAGATTGATTAATTTAGGTTACCGAGAAAATGTCCTGTTAATAAGAACTTAATGACTGTTACGTATTCTAGACGAGGTGTCATGTAGTGTAACTACAGTATATAAAACTGGTATCATGTGAAGGTTAGGTCCCACGATTATTTCATATGGCAAATAAACACCCAAACACTACCTGGGGGGGGGGGTTATGTTAGGTTAGGTTTGGTTAGTTTAGATTAGGTTAATTAGATAGTATTAGGTTAGCATATGAAATAATGTGTGGTGCCTAGTCTTCATGTGATCCCAAAACTGACATATCCACAATCACTAAATTCTCACATACAGTATTATTAAAATTATTGACAAATTTAGATAAAGGAGAGATTTTAGCGTAAGAAACAAACATGAAGGGAGAGCCATGCAAGAAGGTTCCCAGATATCAGTTTGAGGTGATAGTTTATATCGGTTAGTGCTGTACTTGGTTCATTAATCCTGGGTTTGAAATTCCCATGAGAAGATAAAGTGCTAATCAGTACTAGAAGTATAGCGATAGACTTACCAGCTTGTAGTGTGAGCTAGTACTAATAATGTAATCATATAGCCACCAGCCTATAGTGTGAGCTATAGGGAATTTTATTGTATGAATCTTTGGGAATTCACACCCAGGATAACCAAAGATCTGATATATATTCAAGTGACCCTTCCTCCAATTCCCCTTCTATCTTTCCCTGCACAATAGTAATGCCCTTGTTGCTCCTGTATTTGGTCTATCTGCATTATCAGTAGTACTGGAGGTACTGAGTGTTCCTCTACCTTGAATTTGCAGTAATCAGTTGATAGTGTCTGAGAGGAATGTTATGAAAAGGGTGATGAACCAAGGGCTGGTATATGATAAGGGTGATGGACCAAGGGCTGGTATATGATAAGGGTGATGAACCAAGGGCTGGTATATGATAAGGGTGATGGACCAAGGGCTGGTATATGATAAGGGTGATGGACCAAGGGCTGGTATATGATAAGGGTGATGGACCAAGGGCTGGTATATGATAAGGGTGATGGACCAAGGGCTGGTATAAGCATAAGGTGACAAGAATCCATCTTTTAACTCAGCAATCTTATACAAAATGTTGAAAAAATAACACGCATCTTATCTTACGCTAATACAAAACTGGATATATAAAACCAACTCACATCTATCCCCACTAACATGATAACCACAAACCACAAACTTAGCAGTCATAGAGGTGTATAAGCATCTCAAAGGCACTACTCAGTCGAGTGTCCTTACTTGAGGCGTGGACGCCTGCCCCACAAGGGTCACAGCTCAAGATTGAAGAAGCCGCAAGTCCAGAAAACAGTGAGGGCAACTTTTCGGAGTGAGAGTTGTGAACTCTTGGAACAATCTACCAGAAAGTGTTGTGACGGCACCGAGTGTGAGCGCATTCAAGACAAGACTTGACCAACACTGGACCGGGTTCAGGTACATTCAGGAGCCGGTGCATGCCCAGTACTTGCAACAGTGCATAACAGAGACGTGACCGATCGCCCAAGTGGCTAACGAGCCGATCTTTTGGTAAAGAGGATAAAAGTAAGTAAAAGTATATCCATCATCAGGTGAGATGTGTTATGTTGTCTATATCCTGCCTCCAGACCACAGAGTCAGAGCTTCCTGGAGGATATCATGTATGAAGACGCCAACAATGAAGCCATTTTATGTTCATTGTCAAGTTGTCAGCCATAATAATGTACTCTCGTATCTTTAATGTACCTGTACTTGTTTTTGTACTGAAACTGTACTTTATACATTAGCTTCTGAGGTGTTAACACAGAATATAAAAGCTATAGTAACATAGTAAGCTTCGGAAGAGTTTGCAGTCATTTCCTGTCGAGTTACTTGGGCCTGTACTTGTGTATGTAACTATATGTGTATCATGTACTTGAATATGTACCTCGAGCTGAGCTGTAATTATATATTTACCTGTACTTCTCCTTGTACCTACAACTACAGTACATATAGATTTAATCGGTATTTTGTGTCTGTACCTGGAACCTTTGCTATAATGAAAACATAATTATAACCCCTGCAGAAGTCACTGGCTGCCCCTCTCACTATACAGTACTAAATCGTAATTAAAAATATTCGAAACCTATTCATTATCAGGTATTAAGCAGCCGAGGGAACGTGAGTATATCCTACAGGTACATAACACTAAGTGGTTGTCTCACCTGGTGTGGTAGAAGTAGAGGTACAAGGTGCTATGCGGTAAAACGTGAGTTAGTGACGGTGGTTATGGTAGCGGGTGTTGTGGTGGGCAGACCAGATTAATGTATCTGACTACCCCTTGCAACGGCTCCTATCACCGCAGATAAGTCTATCTTTAGCCTCCTGTGACAGTGAACTGCGGAAAAATTCAGGACTATGATTTGTGACCATATGAGAAAGATACTAAACCTAACCCTCACCATGTAGCGCTGGGTTGTTTTAATCATCAGGTGAAATAAGCTGGGATGTTTAATGTATGCAGATTGTAACGACATCACTCTGTAAACTACACCATGTGGCCAGGCATTGTCCACCTTGAAAGGGGTTACCAACAGTGAGATTAAATCTACCAGGGAAGATAACAATACACTTATCAATGAGATAACAACTAGGGTCCAGCAAAGACTGTCCCCAACTTGTCAAGTAACTCACTCTAAGTTGGTTTCTCTAGGGGCTTAAAAGTATTCCTTAAGGGTCACTAACACTGTCGAGATTAGGATTATAAATCACAATGTTGGGACTAAAGGATGATTCAGTGGATAAAGATGAAAGAGGTGATAAGGGTTAAGAGAGATATCACAAGACATGTACAAACATAACCATTTAAGGAGGGAAAAAAGGGCTTTATTTTGTCCCTAATGATATTACTTTGTAAATCTAAATTACTAAATAATTTCTATACAGAATAAGTGATTGAATGACTTACATACAGCACATCTAGTATCATAACTGTACAAGTCATGTGATGCTTTATTCACTTAAAGAAGGTTTCTATTTACAAACGATTCATCAATTGTGTAAACAAGATATGTTCATATACAGTAGATGTAACAGTACTTAAAATATCACAAACCTAACACATATATACACTGCAGGAGGTCAGCATACTTGATAAACTTAAAACTGGCTGGGGCTCTCAGGCAATTAGGTGGCTGTATGTCAGCTTACAGTGGCCAATGCAAAGCCTAATCATAGCAGTCTTCACTTCGTGGTATTCAGAGCTTGTTTAGACAAGTAGTTGCTTCCCAATAACATAGCTAAGCATTACATATGGCAATTCTAATCCCAGAATCTATATCCCAATATGGGAGTGGTTGGAGCAGAGGGGCTGGGCAGGACACAGTGGCCCTGGCCAGCTTCTCATTGCCCAACATATTTACATGTACAAAGTACTGGTTCACCCAGCACAAACTAACCTGCTGGTCACACGACCCTATTAACAATATTGAACAGTTTTTAGTTGTTTGTTTCCTCCCAAATTACATAAAAGAAACTGAAAAGCACTTTTTAGTATATGTATTATGTAGTGAATCAGAGACGTTTAAGAGAGTTAAGAGTTAAGTATCATTGCCTGGAGTGTTGAGGGTTGGTGAGAATATTCAATCTAATCTCTTAAACTTTGGAGACACTGATAACACACTGTAATTTGTTCATACAGGAACTTTCCAATCATGCATTTTTTTACCCTTCTTTATAGGAAGTGAACTGGGGGTGCCCCTGGCGTGACCACTGACCAGTGACCCGTAAGACCAGGAGGCAGGCGCTGTATCCAGCCCACCACCGCACCCAATACTTCATACTTTCCATTTATTGTTACTATAAAGAAATTATAGTCTTCATATACTGTTGCTATATATAATATTTCCCACATATCACTAACACTATTTACACTTTCCATATACAGTATTGAATCTGCAACCCATTTCATATTATCAGGGCAGACGTCAACATCAAGACTACCAAGATGATAAGTGTGACAAGTTGTACCCTGACCACCGCTCACCAACCACAGTAACACTACCCTACCACATTGCACTCTCTACCTTACCTGTCCTTCTTTACCACACCTGGTGAGATAGCATTTAGTTGTACAGTACATATCTTTAACTGTAACAAACCGAGAGGCTAATATAACAAATAACCATTACCATGTCAGTGTAATTTGTATGTTATTGTGGCCACCATATTTGTGAGGTTAGATTGAAGTGTTGTTTCTTATCAGCAAATAACACGTAAAATTTGAGAGAGACGACTGCCTTGATAATTCCTTCTTCCTTTACTTTTGTCCGGGTTAATTTGGTAAGAAGAGAGAAACACTAGCACGCATACACACACATGAACACCCCCGCACATGCAGCCCCCCCCCCCAACATACACATTGATAAACATAAATTCAAAAGTTGAATTCCTAATTTAGTTGTAATTTTTCACTCTGTATAATCAGCTCAATTCCAGCTTTTCTGACCCGACTGATGTTCATTCCGCGAAGGATTTTTCCACCAAATGTCTCTGTAATACGCTGTTGGTTGTATGACCAACTGTACACTAACTCTGCTATGATCAATTCCTGTTCATCATTGCTAGGTAAAGTTAAGCTACACAATACAAAATAAAAGAAGCAATTATAGACTGGTGTTTGGCTTCTTAGGTATATCATGTTTGTAAATAGGAAATATTAAGTGTTGAGACTCTAACGCATCTCCCTTACTTAGACAAAGAAACATCATTGTGAGTGGATCTGACAATGACACCTGTCTGATCTCTCTCTGAGCTTTTTATGTTAAAAAAATAAAAATTCAATACGTAACTGTTTATCTTACAAATAAATATTTTGTAGGGAAGAAGATGAAGGACGGAGGAAGAGTGTTGGTCGTCGCTCTGGTGATGGCGGTCCTGTGCTGCTCAGCTGTCACCCCGCTCACTCCCGCCCAACGACACCAACTACTACTACGTGATTATTATGATGATTTAGATACACCAGATGACACAGATACACAGGAGCCTCGACATACTGAAACTCCTTTGGGTGACTCTCTTGTGTCTTCTGCTACAGCAACAACCAACACAACTACTGCTGTGATGATCTTAGGTATGATGTATAACCTACGCGCCCCAGTATCTATGCACACCGCCACCTTCGTCCACACACCACCATCTTCATCCACACACCACCACCTTCATCCACACACCACCACCTTCATCCACACACCACCACCTTCATCCACACACCACCACCCTCATCCACACACCACCACCCTCATCCACATATACTTTTTTATATGGGCAATAGCCCAACTGGGCACAGGTCATCGAGCCACAACGGGGCCTAGGGGGCGAAAAAATAAGAGTAAAATGAAATTAAAAACTAAGGTGATAAGTACAGTAAGGTAAAACAGTCATTAAGATTGAGGAAGTACTGTACTGTACACACGTGAGAGTAGTAGGACACAGGCTTGATATTCTTATGCTATCAGTCATTAGTTTTGTTAGCAAGTTACATGTAGTGAAGTAGAAATAAGTGTATGTAGGGAGTATTAGCATTGTTTAAAAACATCACTGAATTTTAGTTATCATTTGTGTGTATCAGTTGTTGACTACTGTATAAGTATAAAAGAAGATTTAAAATTTTGCTGTCAATCAGAAATACAGTATCACTATCATCATCTTCTTTGTCATATTTACCATCATTATCATCATCATCATTATTGCCATCATTATTACCATCATCATCCTGCTTCAGTCCACTGCATGATTAAGGCCTCCATCTCACCTTCAACTATCTGCTTCAGGTTGCTTTGCCGTGTGAGCACCTCTAAATTTGCTAATGTCTCATTTTCATCTGTGTTTCTACTTACAGATGAAGATCTGTTTCAACAAACTGAGGACATGTTGGGGGAGATCAGTGACACTCTCAGCCAACTCTGGTTATATATCAACAATGGGTCAGAGAGCGACCTCGTGTGGCAGCGTCTTCCCTATGTCTGGTGGCGTGAGGTCGTCAAGAACCTTATACAACCAGGAGACAGTCCTTGTATCGACACTACTGGCACATGCATGAATATAAGTATAACTTTACATGACATAGACCAGCAGTTGGACACACTAACTAACAACACAGATGCTTGGTGTATGACCAACCTCAAACAACTCAAGGAAAACAATAAAAATTTAAGAAGCTTGATGAATGAAGCAGATGATAAAGACTTTATGGATGGGATCATTAAGAAATCTTTCAAAGTACTCCTCAAAAAAGTTAAAGATGTGAGTATGAAAGTGGTGCCTTAACTTACAAACTTATGATGTAAATGTTTCTAACTCTGTGATAGATTAGGGAAATTACACATGACAAAGTGATCTGAATTCAAAATAGGCTTGTCAAGGATATACTGGATATGTTTATTTGTATAATAAGAGGTGTGTGTATATAATATATCTCTAAATCAAAATCCCCTTTTGTGCCAGAAAGTGAATGTAGGAGTAACTACAGCGAAGGACAAAGTTGCTGAGACAGAAAATAGAAAGACAAAAGCCATTATCATTTTCCTGTCATTCTCCTTCTCAATGGTTGGCCTTATCATAGTGAGGCTCCTGGTTGGCCTCTACTGCATGGGTAACCAACACATACAGAGCCACATGACCAGGAAGGATCCCACAGGAAGACATAACACCAAGGTACTGATAATGGCTGGGTTGTGTAGTCAAGGAGAGATGGTCTGTGTGTGTCGTAAATGTGGGGATAGTTTCTTAATCGAACTGTGTATAATGGTAAGGATGTATTTGTCCCCTAAAGGCAAGGATCTATTTTATGTACATCAATCTGGAAGTACAAGGTAGGTAAAGAGTACATTTGTTCAGCCAGTAGCAGGTAATACACTTTACTCTGTCCTTAAACTAACCATCATATTTTCAGGTGAAAGGAGAGTACGTATTCCTGGAAGACTTCAGTATATAGCCCACCACCGGAGAACAATAACAACACGGACAATAATACCGCCAAGGATGGTGCTGACACTATACCCGGGCACGACCACACAAGTACCTACAGCAAGCATTTCCCACCTTGGCCCAGGTGTTACCTTAAACCTGACGTTACTGGTGGTACTGATGGCCAGCCCAGGACTGATTATTGTATCTTCAAACAGGAAGTAATGGATCTACGGAACAAAGACAAAAATTCGGCAAAAATTAGCAATACCGTACTGTAGTTTGTGATATATGATGTCTGACACCTGCATATTCTTACATACACCTAAGTTTCATTGGTCTGATGGTCTAACAAAACCAAACTAATCCTACCCTAACCTGCCTTCGGTCCAATGAACTTACAAACCAACAAACCTTCGAACAAATGACCCTTTGAACCAACAAATCCTTGAATCACAGTATAGTTCCTATCCACTACAACCCTCTTGACAGGAATTTAGAGACATTTGTCAGTGTTCAACTACACAGAACTACTATTAGTTTTGACATTACCACTTCCCCTGTGAACATAATTCTAATGTTTATTTATTTTTATATACAGTATATATATATTTTATCCGGGAAGCGATGTTGTCATTAAGAAACACACAGGTGGAGGCTTTTATCATTTATAACTTCCTTAAAGTCGTGTAAAGAATATCAAAATCCAAGATGATTTCAACTGGTGTTACTTTTTCTAACCTAATCTAACCTAACAAAGCCCCAATATTCTTCTCTATCCAAAACTAAACAGACACCAAACAATAGATCTGTTTACAGTACAATCACTAGGGTAAAAGATTATATGTGGAGTACTATAAGGAACCAGTTGGGGAACTGGAGGTACATCATCATATTTACTAACACGATAATAAGTCAGAAAGACATTACATCTCGAATAGGGAGATGGCTGGAATATGATATTACTGTACGGTAATACTGTCTAACCAAGTGCAATAGTTTTCATGTGGGATACAATAAACCAGGGTACAAATATGGTAATATTGTACTTTCCTGGCATATACAGATAAGGTAAGGGACCTCAGCATCACAGTTACCCAGAATCTGAAATAGTCACAAAAAGTAAGAACAGCAATAGATAAATGCCAATCATCTTTCAGGAATTATGAATCATGTCATCGAAAGAAGAAAAAAGACCAGCTATATCTTTCCCTGTACCTCCCCACCAAAGTACTGTACTGTAACCAAACACACAAACACACTTAGTGCAAAATAAGTCATTACAAAATTACAAACATTCTACCTACATTTAGTACAGTATTGTTACTTTACAAATACAGGTATAATTAAGGCACTTGTGACTGAAAAAATCTAATAATATTGAAAAATTAATATCTCGGTTATCCTTAATTTCCGGCGGAAATATCATAGAAGAAAAATGTCTTAGAATTGTCTAAATATTACGAAATACATATTAAAAACAGCGAGAGAAAGACCGGTGTATTACAATAAATTCACCGAACCAAGTGACTGGTTGTGGTGGCTTGATACCAGGTATAGGGTTGAGCGACATTATGATTAGGTACTTAGCTTGAGGTTTAAGATGTCTTCACAGCAGGGCAGCAGTTACGTTAGATCGGCAGAGATTATCACAACAGGTAGGCAGGTAAGTGAACACAGCAGGTAGGTAAACACAGCAGTCATAGCAGGTAGGTAAACACAGCAGTCATAACAGGTAGGTGAACAGCAGTCGTCATAGCGGTATTCGTCCTCTCAGGCTTCACCTCACCAGAAATTAGTGTCTCAAACCTCTGCTGCAGTATTACCTCTTCTTGTCAGCACTTTTTATTAGGCCTGACTCCTCTCCACTCTCCAGCATGTATTCCACCTGTTGCCAGCTGCACAGACAGCTTTATTTAAACTTACTGTACATCACTAGGGTGACGGGTCCCCTATAATCCTGAAATTCATTTATAATTATTATTTTTTTTGGCTAATAATCTGCAACATAAGATACATTTTGCAAAATTTTACTTAAGTTCCATTATGTGAAAATTTGTTATTAAAATCTCGAAAATTTTATCATTGCAATCAATATTTCAGAAAATTTTAAGATACTTCTTCTACGACGTTTCCCTCGCAAATGACCTATATTTTTATAATTGTTATTGTTAGCCATTTAATTAAAGTGATACCCGGTTGGTCAATTTAATACTACGGTAAAGTATTTAATCTCATTCATAAACTATTTACTGGTACCATTTACGTCCATTTTCTCTGATAAGATATAAAAGAAAACGAAACTTTTTGATGGGATAACCTCTTTAATTTTTAAGTAATTACTCGGATCGTGACCGTCCGCGGTTTTTAATTGAAAATGGGTTTAAAAATACCCAGTTTTCACTTATTTTATTAGATTATACTGTATTATATATATTATATGTCAAAATATAAAAATGGTTGAAATCATGAGCTAACCTAACCAAACTTAACTTGTATCGTAACTCGCCTATATCTAGAAACTAAGCATTTACACAAAAAATTAATAGAACAAAGTAATCAGCGTGCAAAACTGTGCTAAGAAAAACAACATAATTATAGAACTTACAGTATATAAACGTACTATATACAGTGTACAGTATTTGTTACATACATGCACGCTACACAAAGACATTCTTGCAGTATGTTGTGGTGTGCGCTTGTTCTTGTTATGGTAACACCCAATACAGCCGATGACGCAGCCTGTGGGAGTAAGGTGTGGTGGTGCTGGCTAGTGTGACGCTCCAACCTGTTTTGAATGGTGTCCTGTCGTGCTCAAGCCTTCATACAGCGATTAAATACTGCCCCATATATGTAAGTTTTCACGTGTTAAGAGTACAGGCGTGTCGAGTTGTGTTTTAGAGTTAGTGTTGACAGTGATAGTATTGTGTTCTACTAGTACTCTTTATCTTTCTTTCTCTCTCTTTCTCTCCCTTCTTCCCTCTTTATCTCTCTCTGTCTCCCCCTCCCTTCTTCCTTCTCTGTCTCCCCCCTTACTCTTCAGGAGGGTGCATGCCCAGTACTTGCCAACAGTGCGTAACAAGAGACGTGACCGATCTTAAGCACCTAACAGGCTGATCAGTGGCGAAGAGGCTAAAAAGTAAACGTTCAGTTCGTTCACGTACTCATTCGTCTATTCCCTCCCCCCAATCTCCTCCTCTGAGATCCCTCTTTAGCTATTGATTAACCAATAACATTATTGTGGTTACGTTCGTCGCTGGGTGAGCCACAGAGTTGAGTCACTTTAACACCGTGGTATGCAGGTACACCCTTTTGGTGGGGGGGTCAAGGTGGTAGAGGTGGTGGTTGCGGTGGTAGAGGTAGTGGTTGTGACTAGTAGTGAATAGAATAGTTCAGTAGGAGGATGGATAGAGAGAGGATAGAGCGTGGAGGGTGAACAAAAGGGGTGGAAGGTAAGGTGGTGGGTGTAAGTAGTTGGGGTCCAGTAAACACATCCATTGAGACGCATCAGACAGGACCTGACTTGGATCAGCCCGAAATGTCTTCTCCATTATGTAGATTGCGTTCAATAATAACCTGTCAAGTTCTGCGGCTACCTGTGTGTGTGTCTACTCGCATGCGCACCTCAGTTTTAAAATTTCGTCCATCGACTTTTTTGTTATGCACGAATTAATGTCTTGTTATCATGATATCTTTCAGGCTATATGTGTATATATATATATATAATCTTCCGTTTTAGTCATCACCGTTTACCTGTGGAGTACAATAAGTTAACCCCTTAAGTACGATGACTTAACCCCTTGAGTATGATGATTTATCCCCTTGAGAACGATGACTTAATTCCTTGAGTAAGAATATTTTACCTTGAGTATGATCACTTAAGTCATCGTTATCGAGGGGTTAAGTCATCGTAATCAAGAATGTTGCCTTACAGTAGATTAAGCTATGCTGGATGTGTTAAATTCCTCAAGCGACTCTGTCAACAGCTGGTGCAGTGAGCATGGTGATGGTATATGGTAACTGTGGCTGAAGAGGAGGCGTGAGAGTGTATGGGTGGACGTCCAGAGCAGCAAACATGTCATGGAAGGTGGTGAGGGAGAAGCAGGTGAGCATGTTATTGGAAACGGTGGTGGTAATCGTGGCGGTGACCTTCGTGTTGGTGGTCGCTGCAGTGTACATGGTGGGTGAGTATCATTGGTCATTGTTGATAAATTAACTTATATCTTCATTTTAAAGTTTATTGTCTGTATATGTGTGGCTCTTGCTAGTGCCTCTTAATGGATTTACACTATAATTACTCAGTTTGTTGAAGGACGTGACTAACATAAGCTATTGTACTCATTTTACCATCATCTTTCATTTGGTTTAATCACAGGAAGACCAATCTTTGCCATTTGATGAACTGACGACAATAACAGATTAAATCCACAACACAGGTGACAGGACACTTCTCACCTCACCCATTGCATACGAGTTAGTCCAGGTAGCGGAGGTGAAGGTGGAGAAGAGTGGGTGGAGGAGTGTCATGTGTACCAATCAATCAACCGCCCCTACACCCATCCTCGCCCCTCTACCTAAGTTCTCTCCGTCACCCGAGGCTAGGAATGTCTTCTTCTTGGAGACTACTTGTGCCCCTGGGATCAATGCCAAGATGGTAAGCTGATCTAGTGACGTAGGGAACAGTTTTTAGTGATGCAATGTTGTGTAATGTTTTAAATTAGCGGGATCATCTGAGGGAGTTAGTGTGGTAGAGGTGAGTGTGTTGGAGGTGAGTGTGTTGGAGACGAATGCGGTTGAAGTTAATGTGATAGAACTCAAAGCCTCTCCTCTTCCAGGCCTGTGCAGTTGAGAGCGCAGCCAGACACCATCCAGCCCATCAGATACATCTAGCCCTAACTAACAGCTTCGTGCGGATTAATGACACCTTCATCCAAGCTCTATCCACTCTCCCCAACGTCCGCATATCTACCCTGGATGTGGATGAGGTGGATAAACATGGGCAATTTGGCAAGTGGCTCCGTCAGATGAAGTGGGCCAAGGGGAGTAAGTGGTGATGGTGTTGTTGTTGTGGGTGGTGTTGTGGTTGTTTTTATCATTAAACTATTACCATTACTATTTTACTATTACCATTACTATTTTATTACTATTACCATTACTTTTATTATTATTGTTATCGCCATCCTCGCAACAGGATGGCCAGAGATCAACCTCTCAGACGCACTACGGGTCGGTGTGGTCTGTTCAACTGGAGGGATTTATCTCGACTTGGACATGTGGATCATGGGGCCTCTCCCAGATGCTGAGTCTTGGCTCTCTCGTGAACACCAGAGCCAGCTGACTAACAGTGCCTTCAAGTATGTTGTTTTAAAGGGGTTATAACACTGGTTTAAATATTAGCAAGGTGGTGGTTTTGAAATATACGTATGGATGTTTGAAATAAAAATGTATACAGTGTGTTTCTTGACCCCAAAATATGTTAACTTTGGTCTTCTGAACTTAAAAAAAAACACACACAAAAAAAACAATTCATTGCGCAAATACAACTGAAAGGTGTTTGTATTTTGTTTTAAGTTCGAGGGTAATAAATTCATGTGTATCTACCCCCTTCAACAGGCTGCCCAAGGATCACTGGTTCTGTGAGGAAGCCAAGAAAGGTATGATGGGGCACTTCATGCCAAACGTGTGGGGATACAACGGCCCTTACCTCTTCCAGAACACCATAAAGAGGTTTTGCCATGTTAAAATAACCCCCACCTTACATTCCTGTCGGGACCTCATGTTCTTAGGTATGTGAACGTTGAGAAATGTAAGTGAACGTAATGATCAGGTATACAGGTAGGTATGAGTGAACGGCCGCATAGTTTTGACATATTAAATGTTTAGGTGATAAGTCACTTTAATTTCATAAACGAAAATGAAGTGCTGAAAGTAGATCTCACAGGTATGATGGCACATTAGGGGCAGTTTTGATATAGCACAATGAAAGTTTAGCCACCAGTAAGCAAGGGAGCAGCAGCATGGCCGATTTTGAATTTCCCAGCTATAAAGTCAGGTACCTCTTTATAACTTGATGGATTAGGAGAGATAATTTAGTGACTCCAATTACCAAAGGTCAATGGGTCAAGCGCTTTATTTTCAGAGATTGGTCATTCACGTCGCCCCTCCTCCTCGCTTGTGTCCCCCATCTCACACTAGCGTTATCCTCACAGATCCTGCCCTGCTGTTCCCGATTCATTATGCCGTATGGGAACACTATTTCAGGCCTAATGGTAACAGAAGATGGAAAAGGCCCTCAAACATGGTAGGCATCCATCTGTGGAACAAATTGAGCAGTAAGAGGCCGCTGAACCCAGGTGATGGCTCCATTGTTGACAAGGTCGCCCAAGAGAACTGTCCCCACGTATACAAAACTCTACCAGAGACCAGGCAATCCAGGAGGTGATGGGTAGCGGCCAGAGTGAGACGGTCTCCAGCACACACCAAGAGCTCTGTCAACATGGATATACTGCATAGTGTCGAGGATGTGTTCAGGTGTGTTAGTACTCAAAATATCCTCAGACACGGACGTACGATCTAACCTATAATTCCCTAACTTAATTTAACCTTTATCCAACCCAACCCAACACAACCTAATCTAACCTAATAAACATTAACCTTACTTAACCACCTTAACCTAACATAATGTAAACTTTCCTATATAAATAAAAAATCAACTTATATATAATATTTTTTGTCCTGTTTTATTAATGGTAATGATTACAAGTTTTGGGTCAGAGAAAACTAATTTGATCACTGAAGTTAAATAACATACTTTTATAATGGTAGGGACAGTCAGCTGACCTAACCTAGCAAGTAACAGTGGACTGCCGAGTTAAAGAGTGTCCCTGTAACATGTTGCCTTCCCCTTGCATTTAATTGCTCTCCTTCACTATACTTCACACTCCTGCACATTGGATTCGTCATGTCACTTCGACTCTGAACACAATACCTCACACGTCACATTATTTTGTCACAGGTTGGGCAAAAGCACTGACCTCTGATCTGGCTAAACACCGACCTGCTCTAAATTCGACCCTTCCCAGATGACCTCTGAAGCGGGCCAACCTCCAGGTAACCAAATGACCTGACCCCTTTACTTGACCTGGTATACTCTCTCCCTCTCTCTAAATTCTGGAATTGTTTATCATATTGTCTTAAACATTATTCGTGAGATACAACCATCTTTACCAAATAAGTCTGACTGATATTTTAATCGTTGTGTTTACCTCTGTTCTGAGTCGACATTCTTACATATTTCATATTTTATTCTATATCGAAGTTTTTCAAATACACGAGTTCTCTTAATCTTATATCTTGACTTTCCCAAACACAAGAGAATTATTTTGTTTTGTTTTTGTGGTCCATATAAATACACAATGTAGGTGAGCTGGGAGAGCAGTTGGACTTTAACTCTAGTTCCCTCGTTCACCTGGAGTCACTATCACCACTTTAAGTATGATCAGAGACGTTTGTATTCAGCAGAGGTCAGAGTGGTTTGTTGAGTAAGAGATACAGTCAACCCCAATACCCACACCTCCAACACACTCACCTCCACCACACTCAACTCCAACACACTCAACTCCAACACACTCAACTCCACCACACTCATCTCCACCACACTCATCTCCAACACACTCAACTCCAATACACTCACCTCAATACACTACTGCTCCCGGGATACTGGATGTGACACTTGACAATCTTTGATATGTACTGGTGAACACTCTCTCTCTCTTTTTCCCTCTATCTTAGTATTTCATTTTCTCGTTTTCTCTTTCTTCATCCTCTCTCCCTCTCTTTTTGTCCTTCCTCCTCTCTCTATTCTCCCTCTAACTCTGTACATCATCAATATACCAACCTCTTACGTTTTCTCTCTCTCTAAGTAAGTAAATTCGTTGACATTGTAACACCAAGGAACAAGTTTGCCAAAGATGACCATAACTGGATCAGGTCTTCTTACGACATGCACTCGCTGGGTCAACCTCAAAACCATTGGAGCGGTTTCCCAATATCAGATGGTTCGTTTGTGTCGTATCCGGCCGTGTGGTGTTGTTATGTTCGTCTTTAAGTGGTTCGTTTGTGTCGTATCCGATGACTTAACCTCTCAAGGGGTTAAATCCTCGTATTCAAGGGGTTAAGTCTTTGTGTGATAAGTTAAGTCAGCCATACGTCTCTCCTCACACCAGACTCACAGGAAGAAAGCACAAGTAATAACCTTTTTTTAGAATCCATCTTTATTTTACATCTAAGGTTATCCAGTTAATATTTTTTTATACCTTTGCGTAAGAGAAAAAATATGAGAACTTTTGAGAATTTGGATCGCATTTTTTTTCACTCTAGATTTAATACAACACTAGCGAGTCTTAGGTATTTCAGTTCAGTTCATATTTATCTGATTTGAATATGACTGGAAGAGAGAGAGAGAGAGAGAGAGAGAGATACGCCCACTTCATGCCCCAGTGAGCAGCCTTGACTGTGTGTGTGTGTGTGTGTGTGTGCTTTCGGGCATAACCTGATTGCTGGGGTGGGACACACCTTCCCTCGTCCACCCGTGCCAAGTATCGTTCACTTTCACTGTACATTCCTCTCTGGGCTCCAGTTAGTGTTAGTGCGTGTGTGTGTGTGTGTGTGTGTGTGTGTGTGTGTGTGTGTAGGAGACGCTAATAACTCATACAATCAGAATTCTTATGGTAAAACAATAAACAATCCCTCCGTATGTAGATAATCCGGATTTTACGCAGATAGTGAAGAGTGATTACAAAAACGGGTCCACAAAATGAGTTGATAAAGACGAAGACAATGAATGTGGTGTTGTGGTACATCCTCATAATCTCCAGACACGAGGGATAGCTATCGTAGGAATATATCTGTGATTATCGAGCACAGCCTTGTTGTGGCACTAGTTAATTATATCACTCGGGGAACTGACCATAAAAACTGGCTTCCTTGATTCGCTCATTCACTCTCGGTTAAATATATAAATGTATCCCCAATGATGCCTTTTGATTGATGAAGAGAGAGAGAGAGAGTAGTTTATAGTTCTCTTCATGAACGATTAACCCATTTTAGCAGGCAATGTGTATAGCAGTGCTAAATATCTTAAACGGGTGTACAAAAAAATATATCCATCTTTAATGAGGCATAACACGTCCACACACTCAATAGCTGCCGAGCAAGTGACCCCACCTCCCCCTGACAGATGACGCTTAATAACGGGGTCACAGAAATATCTACGTCCTAAATGTTTATATTAAAATCATTAAATATCGTTCGTTTAAATCATGATATGCGTTTGTTTAATTTTAAGCAAAAAGTTCTGCAAAAAATAAACAAATAAAACAAGTCTGATGATCATGTGTTTAGGTGTCAAATATCGACTAGAAATTTGATGCTGGTTGAAGGTAAGTAAGGGGGCGAGTCTTATGTGTCGTACTATGTATACTGTAAACACAGTATATCTTTACTTCACCCACAAATGAGGGTCCTGCGTGTGTGTGTGTGTGTGTGTGTGTGTGTGTGTGTGTGTGTGTGTGTGAGAGCCTCCAAGATACTTCAGAACAAGTTTGCAAATTTGTATCGGATTTAGTAGGTCTGGTCAACAAGAAGCAAGGTCTACAAGTTGAACTTTTGCTGTAAAGTTGACCAAGTGTTGATATGGTGACTGTTTGCGCAACGGTGGTTAAGTAACTACATCACCACTATAGTATAATTCCCTGCCTTGGTAACGTTCGGTAAGTACAGGGGTGAATAAGTTACAATCGTCGTCAGACTTCATCACCGTCTGGGGCACTGGTATTTGATGATACGTTCAATATAACTTGAGCAAAACCTACAGTAAGTTATGAATATCAGATACAGTGCACACTAACAATGACTAACAAATACGAGTGGTCTTTGCTCAACACTGAATTAGTTACGCTTCGTACGCGAAAACCTGGAACTGTTTTTTTCTAAGATGCAAAATCACAGATGAGCTCAGGTAGGTTAATATACGAAAATGAGTATTTCTCAAGAGGTAAAGGATACAATTGAATGAAATAGTTAAATCATTTAAAATATACAAAGCAGATTTAGGATTTCCCGATGAATTAAGGGGCAAGACTCAATGTATTAAATTACTGAATTAATATACAGTATACAAGAACAATATTGCATAATGAATTGCATCCCCAGGAAGCAAAAGTCACATGTGAACGAATTAAACTGCCTGCATAAATCCTGTATAACGACACCAAGAGATAGCTCACTATGGCGCGACACCAGCTCCTGCCCGCCCCGCCACGCCCCGCCATGATAAGCACAACAAATGTTAACCTAAGTGTACTACATACACCCAAGACGCTCGTCACTGTTCAACACTTGGTCTACATTCCTCAAGATTTATATATTTTATCGCAAGGTAAAGTTTCAGTTCCATTCATCTGCGTTATTGGACTTATGTTCTGTATTTATATTGTATTTTATGATATATTAAAACGTATTCTCATATCTTCACTTAAGGGGAAAAAAACTTACGAACCTTTGATCATCCTGGTGTTTACCTACATGAGGATTGAGACAACTGAATGCAAATCACCTAGGAAAGTAAGTATTTTTTGCCCAAACAACTTCTAAGATGGCTTGCACAAGAAACCCATTTACATATCTATTGTTTTAACTATGACAAGCCTATTCCTATTACAAATGTATTGACCGGAATCAAATACAAACACATACTTTCTCTTCACTCAATCTTACTGTTGTAATGTGTTCTGCTATGGTACTTCCCCTGCACAACAAGACCCCCAGTTATCTATGTGTTTTAACTTTGTCATCTCAATCACACAACCCAGCATCATCCACCAACAACACGCCCTTCCTCAGATAACCACACGATGCCAAATATTTAACGCAAGATACATTCGCAACCTTGTCTTTTTTGTGTACATCTTGAGTATACCCTCTGTAACTTCTAGTTGTCCAAGGCTTCACAAATACCCTGGAGAGTATATTAATAATGATGGTGAACAAACGATCAAGACCGGTACAAAATTAGTCGAACTTGTCAAAACATCTCTCGTGCGAGAAAAACAAACAAAAACATACCTATCAGCCAGGTCAGTTATTCCTCTATTCTCTGGTTCATTCCTGGGCTTCATCTTTTTTTTTTTTTATTCATTCGCCAAGTCCTTACTTTCCCTCTTCTCTTCGCCAGACAAACGCCAGGAGGAAATGGCTCCCGGCAGTCGCAAGTGCTTCTTCCATTCTCCAGTACAGTTCCAATATTTAGCTGCGATTACTCAACCCAAAACGTTTACCTTTACTGACCAGCCGGATGGATCCTTGATACACGAGGAATATTTGCTTAAGTGCAGTATTAAACAGTCAGTGATCTATTCTGCGTGACATATATTTTCCTATAGTTCCCCTTACATATCCGTTTTCTCTTTCTTGCTTACTCGTTTTCTGTTACTTTTTAGAATCGTAGACTAATATATATCGACGAGCCGCATCTGAGAACACGACCGACAGACAGAGTGTGAGTAGTGAATTCGTGAGTTAGCCAGTTAGTGAGTTAGTTAGCTAAACAAATGAAGAGAGAGACAGAGAATAATAATAACTGGGTCACATAAAACGATTATTTACACCCAAGTGCTTGATCCAGGTAAAGTAATCGTCTTTTTTGCTTGTAACGAAAAAAGTGGTGGTGAGGTGAGGTAGCACAGTGAACTAGACAAACAGTTTACTAGTGTTTTATATCTGGTTATTGAATGATGAAATAATAGCTTGGTGATGACCAGTGAGGCCAGTGAATGGTGAATGTTTAGCTGTGAGTAAGGCCAGTGTATGATGAATGACTTAACACCGTATCTTCACCCAGCGTTGGAATTTTAAGCATTACTTTTACTTCAAGTCTCATCGTGACAAACTTCTTCAGATCTCTGGCCAAGAAGTGCTTCAATATTACACGGATTCGCCCCCCAGCACATGCCCTCACCACACACACATATCTATCATACACAGCTACACCTCCTCACACGTCCACATCTTCCCCAAACAAGTTCCACGCACGCCTACACACGCACGTACCAAGTATTTGTGGCCATAAAGATTAGTCCAATTTGGGTCAGTAGTATCAGTCGTATTGAAAGCGGGTTCTGAAGGGGTGACCGCAGTATTTTCATATATTAATGTAATCGTTTTGTCTGTTACAGTGTCGTTCGATGAGAGAGAGAGAGAGAGAGAGACCCCGGGTTATTATTTTTGTCGATACACACAAATATTGCAATTATACAAGCAGGTTTTATATAATAGTCAGCATCAGGGGTCAACACCAGGGGGTCAACACCAGGGATCAGCTTTAGGGGGTTAGATTCACGGGTCAGCTCCACCCTAATAAAGTTGGCCTGGGCAGCTGCTTGGTCAACCCCGCCCTCAACGTACACAACAAAACACGCCCAGCTGACCCACTACTCCTACTTGAAATTGTAAGGACATACGAGTGAAAAATGGGGAAACTTTCGCCTTTGAGATAATTTTGGTTAATGTGTGAATTTGTTGTGGGATGTATGATAATCGTCCAGTAGAGCCTTAATCCTTTGTGTATGATATTTTTACCTCTGGATTATAATTACCCTTGAATACGATGACTTATACCCTTGAGTACGAAGATTTAACCCCTTGAGAATGATGAATAAATCCGTTAGTACGATGACTTAACCCTCTGAGTATAAATATTTAACCCCTTGAGAACGACGAATAAATCCTTGAATACTCTGACTTAATCCTTAGAGTAAGATCTTTTTATCCAAGAAACTAAAGTCTCCCGAATCGTATTGTTTCTTTATATTGTGACGGAGTAAGGCAGTGTTCCGACAAGGTAATCTAGATTCAAGTTAGGAGTCTCACTGACCCCGAGGGAGTCCCAGTTTACGAGCGGCTTAACGTTGGCCATACGGTGAAGCCGTTGAGTGGCCATTAATCGTTTTTGTTTTAAAAGTCCTCACCCATCCCAGTCTCTTCCTTCCCCTGGACACCCTAACTTCAGTATTACCTATTAACACATCTACCATTATCACCTCATCCCAAATAATAAGACGAAAGTATATTAATTTCTCTTTCTATTATTTTTCAATATTGTCATTCCAGTTTTTCACAATCATGATATTTTTCCTACTCACGTATCAAGAATATTTGTTTTAATGTTTCAGTGTTATTCCCGTAGACTTAACTATGGGCTTCAGTCCTTAATAACAACCTTAGTCCCTGGCAGTTATTTCTATTATTACTGTACAACGTCTGTATACTACCCGTGTACTGCTAACAGTTAATTTCAGCAAATTACCCAACAGTCCAATAATCTAGCCAAAATTAACTGTTCTTTGATGGCGCAGTACATATGTCTTTTTAAATACATGCAATAAGCAATACAAACTGTTCGTGAGTCAACATTTTTATACCAACAATACATATTAACAAATGACTTAATAGCCGAGTAGTTAAACACGACAAGCACACTTTAGTGGCAAGATTCATGGTCTTGGGAGCTATATATAAACCCTACGGTTTTCTTTACCAATGCACTGGCAATCCAAACTGACTCCATCTCTCTCACTTTTCTTACCACAGAGTGATTCACGAGCACGTTTGAAGTTATACTGTGCTTGGTTACCACCTCACCCTCGACGCTCGCCTGCAGGAACCAGCCCTGAGTCATGCCTACAGGAGACAGGCCCTTGGTGACCCACACAGGGACACACCCTGGGCGACACCTACAGGAACAGACCCTGGGCGACCCTTACGTATGGGTAGGGTGGAAGAGGTTAAACCAAACAGCGAAGAGTGTACACGCCGCGTACACTCCGAGCGCCACCCACCACAGTAGCTGCTCGTGAAGGCGCTGCTCGAAGTTCTTGAGAACGTCTAAGCCAAGTGTATTACATGTAACCATTAGTGAAAGTACAAGGTTACGAACAGTAACTCCAGGACCCGGGTCAGAGGTCAACTTACCCCCAAAGAAGAAGCCAATGAGTCTTAAAGATGCCAAACTGCATACTGTTGTAATTAATTAAGACATTGGCTAAGTGGGCGGCGAGGAGCACATACACCCCGCCCGACGCCCCCACCAGGTACACGTCAGCGTCGAAGACTGAGGTGCCGAATGACCCTGCCAGGACCCCCGCCAGGTACAAGGTGCCGAAACGCGACGACCTATGTACGATCTCCAGGGGCAACCCCACCAGCAGCTGTACCAACAGGTTGAACGCCAAATGAACCCATCTGTAGAAGAACGATCCCTCCGTTAGTCTCAACATCATATAAAAGTATAACAAGACTCATCGGTAATAGCTCCCTCGTGTACAATTACAAGGAAAACATATCAAGTAGTCAGTACAGGCAGATACACGTACATAATCCTAGCCTAAAGTTGGACATTTTCTCCAACATTGAAGACACACTGTTAATAGACCTGGAGGCCAAGTAATAGAGGTAAGGGAGGCCAGATAATACAGGAAGGGAGGCCAGGTACTAGAGGTAAGGGAAGGTTGTTGCCATTAATCGTTGTCGTTATATTGTTGTCATTAACCTACCCTGTAGATATCGAAACTACTTAACCTAGCGAGAGTGACAGGTGGATTTCTTAACCTACAGAAGGAAGGAGTAGACCCCCATCTAAAAACTCATTATTTATTAAAAAAATTCTGATGATTTTCGTGTTGAAGTTAAAAAAAAATGACTAAAAAATACAAGAGAAGTCAATTACATTTGTTTTTTTGTCTTGGGTTAAAGTTGATAAAATTGAGTAGAATGTTTGAGTGACTTTCATGTTCAGTAAATCGTCGAAAACTTTACATAAACATAAGTAATCGAATAAGACTATGAATAAACAGTTCAATAGATTAATCAGAATAAACGCATCAGTAGACAAAATAAATAGATAACAAGACACAAGACAGTTTCCACATTTTGAGAGTGAAAGTTCCTCTTCTGAAGGATATATAATTTACGATCCTGGGCTGCAGTCACAAAGTTTCGTAAGGTAAGTTCTCTTTGGATCTGGAGATGTGATAATGTGTTTAACTGGCTCACTTCAGCAAGGATATCAAGTCGGATTCTGCAAGGTGCTCGTATGGTTAAAATTCTCTCGTAAATTGAGACGTAATAACACTTCTATTTTGGCTGGGTTAAAATAACTGAAATAATATCCAGAATGACATCCAATTAATAATAATAATAATAATAATAATAATAATAATAATGCACAGTCTCCAAAAAGTATCGTCATTTATCGTCTTTACAATTTGAAATCCTGGACGAAACGATTTGATATATACGTACAGTAGGTTAGTCTCCAGTGCACTCGTCAATCGTCAGTACGCCTATCAGACGGTACTCAAATATACAAAACATACGTAGGCTATCTATAAAATATGTACATAAGAGCTAAAAATATTCCTACTATGCATTCTCGTATTCACTCTTAAGGGGGAAAAATATTAAATTGTGATCCTTTGAGACTCCGTATTCAGATCAAGGGAAATCGTGCAATTACCAAGTGAACACAGGTTGTCTTGGCCCTATCCAGAGGCGGCCAAGTCTTGCGTCACCAACATCACAAAAACTATCTGGATTGACCCTCCCTCACTCCCTTCTCACCTTACTCCCCCCACCCCCTTCTCTTCTCACCTTATTCCCTTCTCCTCTCGCTCCTTTCCCCTCTTACATTCCTCCTTCCACTCCTTTCTCCTTCCTCCTACTTCCCTCACTGCCCTTTTCATCCACCTTGATCCTCCCACTCTCTGCTACCTCCCTTACCCTTTCTCCTCCCTCTCCTTTCAATCCTATTCCTCTCCCACTTCCTACTTCTCCCTCCAACCTTCCTCCCTCTACCCTCATACCTGCTAACCTTGCCTTCCTTCCTCCAATTTTACTTCGGTTTCCTTGATCTTTTTTGAGGTGCTTATCCATCCAATCTCTCTCTCTCTCTCTCTCTCTCTTTCTCTCTCTCTCTCTCTCTCTCTCTCCCCATATTATTTTCTACCCATACCTGCCTACCAACTGCCTCATCCTCCACTACCTTAATCCCTTCACCTGTCCAGCCCTTGAGAACATCCCCACGGATGACAAGGTTAAGTAAGTACAGTTCCGTTCAGAAGTTCGTGGTATACTGGCGGTGAAGGGTGCATAGTCTGTTGTACCCTTCCTGGACGACAGGTCACTACGTCGACCCTCCCACCAACACACACAGTGGAACTGGCAACGGAGCAGTGTGAGTCGAACGAATGTAGTGTTTCGAATGAACACTATAAGTAATAGTTGAATGAACACTATAAGTAATAGTTGAACAGAGCTCATATATCAAATATATCAAAAGTCTTCAATGAATTCATTACTTGAAGTTTTCCGTATATACTCTCTCTCTCTCTCTCTCTCTCTCTCTCTCTGAGTCAGGTTACCCTTCGCTGTCACACTAACACTCCTTTAAACTATCACTCCATGTATACTGATGTGCTCTTACCGTCGTCTTGTCGAGGTAACTGCCCACCACTTTTGTTCATCGTCCATATTTTCGTCCACTTTGGGTTGTATCCTTTCCTGATATAACTAACTGATGTTTCTTTCCACGTGAGGGGGTTAATGTTAAGTTTGTCTCACTACATACACTATCAGGCGTGTTATCTGGTTATCTGTTCCTTACTAAAGCAGCGGATTTTTTGTTAACACGAGCACAACAACAGCAGAAGGGATACAATGGCTGTCGTAATTCCGACTATGTTTTACCGAACGCTCTGATTGGTTATTTTCCTCGCGTTGTGGCTGGCTAAGAGATCATGACGTCATAAAAACGTTTTCTTTGTTAAATGTGTTACATATATAGGATATCAGTTACAATTCATTTCCTTTTAACAATTATTATGAATAGTATGAAATATTGCACAATAGATTCGTTAAACAACTTTAATATCGGGTGGAGCATTATTATATTGAATAAAATAGTTAAAAGGGTCCAAGAAGTAGAAAATGGAATGACCACGGGTGAATATCATAGAAAATGCAGTTTAAAAGGATAACTATTATATTATATATGATTTTTAAAATTATGATAAAAAATAAAAAAAAATAAAAAACTAACAGTAAGGGACTCACTGAAAGTCGACATATAACGGCGTGTAGATGCTTTTGACAAAGGCTCAACAGTGAAAGTCATAAGAAGGCACTGATCAAGGCAGGTCCAGCGGGAGGACCCCCATTTTCAACAGAAAACTCCAATAACTTTCCTTATTGCAGACAGTCTTTCGGCCCAGTTAGAGACAGTGTTTCGCCCCAGTTAGAGACAATGTTTCGCCCCAGTTAGAGATAGTGTTTCGCCCCAGTTAGAGACAGTGTTTCGCCCCAGTTAGAGACAGTGTTTCACCCCAATTAGAGACAGTCTTTCGCCCCAGTTAGAGATAGTGTTTCGCCCCAGTTAGAGACAGTGTTTCGCCCCAGTTAGAGACAGTCTTTCGGCCCAGTTAGAGACAGTCACGTCCCTCACTCAACGCTGCCTCGATTATGTGCGTGTTGGTCAACTTCCCGCTGCCCCACCCTAGTGATATGTACACATGGAGTGGACGTCCTTGTGTGTGTGTGTGTGTGTGTATATGTGTATGTGTGTGTATGTGTATGTAGGTCAGCCGTGACGAAGATAACAGCCTGACCTTGTTCCTACCTCATACGGAAAAAGAGTTAGCGAGAGTAAAGAAAAACAATAAAAATACAATAAATGAGAAGCAATAAAGAGGAATAGAAAAGTAATATGTGTTTGAGAGAGAGAGAGAGAGAGAGAGAGAGAGAGAGAGAGAGAGAGAGAGAGAGAGAGAGAGAGAGAGAGAGAGAGAGAGAGAGAGAGAGATAACACAAACAACAGTAACACAAACAGCAAACAAAAGCTCAATACAAACATCACTATCACAAACACAGCATATACTCACAAACAACCCCCACATACACCACACTACAGCACAGGATACAGCAGAAGTGGCCGCCAAATTTAGCTGTAGAGGCAAAGTGTCTGTAGTCACACCTAACCTATCAAATCCTCTGAATATTTAATGTGGAATAAATGAATAAATTTTCTCTAGCGTATAGTGAAGTTAACATAGTAATGTGTTGGTTAGAGAGAGAGAGAGAGAGAGAGCCCCTGTCTTATACATAGAGGCATTCTCAGGGCTCTCAGGGCACACAGACTTTCCAGGGCATAAACGCCTACGAAAGCTTGCAGGGTCAAATTTATTTAAACTGAACTGAACTGAACACACACACACACACACACGAGCGTAATCACCAGCTCACGCCCACACGAGCCAGTTCACTTTGTTTTCCTATGAGGGTCACCCATGGGGCTGGTCTCCATACTAATGCTTAGACTGTACCTCTAGAGGGAAGTATTTGTCTTGTAACACGCGAATAAAAACTTACTTATTTCTTCATACTGACAGGAAATCAAATCTTCCTTTTGCAATACTGAGAGAAAAAGATACTTCTTTCATAACTCTTACAGGAAATGAAGTGTTCCTTTTTGCAATACTTACAGGAAATATTTACTTAGAAGATGCTACTTAGAAGTTAGGATTTGTAGGATAGATATTACTTAATACTTAACACTTTCAAGATATCTACAATTTTATTTATGGTTAAGATTCGTAGTTTATTACACAGATATTTTTACTTAAGTTTGCACACACACACACACACACACACACACACACACACACACACACAAAACTTAATCCCATACACCTTACGACGGTGAGGACACAGTTGATACACATACACTAGGAGACAGAATGGGTGGCAAAGAACTCTACTGTAAACTAAAGTACCCCTTCATAGTGCCTCTTGTGTAGGTATATTCACGACTATTACCGGGAGTTTGTGTTGTGTAATGGTGAGGGAGGTACAGGTGAGTGTGGAGTAGGTGGGTGTGAGGTTGGAGATGTTAGGGATTGAGTGTGGAGGTGGGTGGAGGTGTGGGTGGAAGAAGGTGGATTGGGGAGTGAGTGGAGGTTAGGCTGGGGGTAGGAGGGAGGCTGGAGGTGGGGTCAGTAGAGCGGCACCACTAGGTCACACACCCTGCTGCTTTATTGAGATTATTACACATACACACACACGCACACACACACATACCTTGCTTTTTATGCCTAAGACCTAATACGGACCTAAATATCTATGCCTCACAACGACTACCCAGTGATGGAGAGGGGTGAGGGATTGGCGGGGGTTGAAAGGAGGAACTGGGGTTGGTTGGGGGAGAAGTAGGGGATGGAGGGGTGATGGGTACTGTTATTGGGTAGGGATGGAGGGAGGGAAGGGGGGCATAGTATCTCATCCATGCCCAAATGTTCGTCTATCCATCCATCTGCCCAACAAATAAGACCCACATATGTTTGGATAACATGTGTCGATCATAACACCTAACACCTAACATGAATCTTACCTACCGAAGTTCACCCGAGTTAGAGAAACAAGTCTTATAAACAAGTATTTTCATGCCTAAGTAATCAAATACGGCCTTTTTAATACATCTGGGCCACCTTACCACACATTTGATACTCACTAGCGTCTTAGTTCTGTTGCAATCTGGACTGGTTGGCTGCAGTGAAGGATTCCTGTTGTATTAGTGATGTGGATACGAGTGGTTAGGCTAGGTTAAGGTAATTATTGGGTGTGTGTGTACGTGATATGTTTCTAGGTTAGATTAGGCTAGGTTGGGTTAGGTTAGTTTAGTTTCTGGGGCTGGGTGTAATGTGATGTTTGTTTCTTGTGCTTATATACTGTATTTGTGTATGTGAAGAGTAGCATATACTGTACACTCGTAATTCCAAAACACACACACACACACATACACACACACACTTACAATTATTACAGACATTATGAAACAAACACAACAATGACAGCTGATAACACCGAGATGTGGTCAAGTGGTGTGTAATAATAATATGAGTGACAGTAATACAATGATGGTGAGGCAGCAGAGAGAATAGACTGCTCACCCCCAGTCATTAATGGCGGCTCTTTCACACCTAACCTAACCTAACCAAAACTTCGTCCTGGTGCACAGTTTGAGAGTGATCATATGAGTTATCTCTGAAAACGAAGATGACTAAACTGTTCATTGACTGGGTTGAGAACTTGAGCCTCGCTTGGATAATTCTCATATGTGACAAGAACTATCAGTCATGTCATGAAAGGCGGGTAGCAGACTTGTTATTGGGTGTTCTGTTACCCCGTTGTTAATCGAGCTAAGTTTAAACCATTTAGAACATGGTTATTTAATTCATGTTTGTGAAGGTCCGGTCAAACAAATTTCCTCAGTGGCAAAGATCCGGATGAAAGGCGATGTGTGTGTGTGTGTGTGTGTGTGTGTGTGTGTGTGTGTGTGTGTGTGTGTGTGTGTGTGTAGAGAAAGAGAGCGTAAGCTACCTTAGGCGATGGGAAAGTCACAACACATAAAGTAGAGTCAATCAGGTTGTGGTGCTCGAGGCTGGACAAAATATGACCAACTCGCCCCACGTGAGTCTCAGGCACGACAACTAACACTTAAAACACCAACGTTACAAACACATTCTGACCCAAGCAATAAAAATATTTATGACAACGTCCATCTAATATTATTTACAATATTTAATTTGAGGAAGTGACATGGTTTTGTGTGTCGATAATTTTTCATTATTTTTAAGCAGATCTCAAGTCAAATCCAAAGAAAATATATACCATAGTTTCTAGAGGTATGAGGAGGTGCAGGTATCATCAGTTCGTGGATCATGACCTTCCTGAGGGCGCCCAAGCTGACCCAACTATGAAGATCAGGATTCCTTTTGCTCGACCTTGCTGCCTTAGTCACGACGCCGACTTTCCCAGCCGTGTTTTGTGTTTCACCTGGACTGACAATGTGATGTATGAAGGTAATTAACTGACTAAAGTGAAACCCTGACAGTCTGATGCAAAATTATTCAAGAATAGTCACAGCAGCGTTGAGAGGCAAGTCGTGAGGTGGAAAGTAATAAGGAGATTGATATGGCGTCGGGAAGGGCGGGAGCGTGGCTCCTCTGGTGTTTTTATGATGGACCCTAAAATACAGCAAAAAGTGACCAGTGACGTCATAGGTTTACTATATAGTGGGACAGCTGGTTAGTCTGACCACAGTTGATCCTCAGCTGAGTTAACACCATGAACACTAAGGTACGCTTCGTGGTGGCTGGACAGAGAACCTCGCAAAACGGACAATGGTATCCGGTCATGTATATAATTTTCGGCAGAGTCAACGGGTCTACATTCCATGGCATCATTTATTGAATATAATAACAATTTAAATAAGTACTAAAATGCTTAACACTGGTAATCATAATATCATGTGTGAGATATACTGTTGTAGGGAACTGTCCAAATCTACTGAGTTGTTAATACGGAGGTGATGCTTTTACTGACTCCAACTGATGGATAGTTTCCTCTTGTTGATGAATTAATTTGCTGACCCTTACTATAGAACAATAGTGTTAGAAAATGTAGGAACATGGGTTGTCTCTATCAGCGAAGGTTTCATTCAGTATGAAACACACTTATAAACTTTCTGTCATGGCTAATGAAAATGGAATGTTTTGACTTCATGCCCAGAACTGTAACTTCACTTTAAATAGGAATTCTCGTGCTTTAGGTTCTTTTCCTGCTGGGTGTGGTGGCAGTGGCTGCCGCAGACAGACTCCCAGCTTACTCCTACAACGCCCCTCAGGTAAGTCATTGTATCCCGCCCTTGTCGTGTTAGTGAAGCATAAACTGACTGTCAACTGATAGTAGCTGTTACGTGTACCAGTTAGATTATACCGTCTTGTCTTGTCAGGAATCGGAGGAATACTCGGCAGAAGAATCTGAGCCAGCCAAGTACGACTTCAACTACGCTGTAAAGGACGACTACTCCGGCAACGACTTCGGGCACCAAGAGTCTCGTGATGGTGACAACACGAAGGGGTCGTACTACGTGCAGCTTCCCGACGGTCGTCTGCAGACTGTAACTTACTACGTGGACGGTGACTCAGGCTACGTGGCCGAGGTCAAGTACGAGGGTGAGGCTCAGTACCCCGAGTCTGAAGAGTCCAGGGAGTACGCCCCACCCAGGGCCCGGGCCAGTCTGAGGAGGTGGATACGCCCCACCCAGTCCGCCCCCCAGTCTGAGGAGTCTGTGGAGGCTCCCGTGTACGCCCCACCACCCAGGCGATCATACAGCTTCCCCCAGTAAGTCGTGTACAGTGATCATACACACCCAGTTACCATGACCGCTCTGCCTAGACCAGTCTATAGCTACCACCCCTTCCTGTAGTCACCGCTCTCATGTAAATAACTTCACTGTTCTCACAAATTATATATCTCCACAAATATCCCCAACCGTCAGAGAAACTATCAATTGATTATGCATTTCATTTTTGCTTTATGTACAAACTGTGAGATATATAATGTATTTATTGAACATATTAAATATAATTAATGCATCTCCATTCTGTTTACTCACACCTTTTTGTCGCTAATAATCTTAAGCTAGACTTATGGCTCCAAGACTGAATAATTTATCATTAAGTGAGGGTGAAGTAAACAAACTTCATTGTATATTTGAATGTATAATTATTTAAATTAATCTCTGGTTAGTAAGACTTTCCATCATGTTCATGAACAGTCGGTATAACATGAATCTTCCACACTGTGTTTTCGTAAATGAGATAATTATGAGTGACAAGATTAACTATAAAGGATCATTAAGTAAGACTCTTATTGAAGCATGAATACTGCCTCCTTCATCATGTAGATTAAGTGATAAGACACCACAACACAACGACAGCCATATCAGATAATATACTTCACAACATGATGATCTGTACCGGTGCTGATAACGTCAACATGAGCAACATAAGCAACATAAGCTTCACAAACACTAATGCTGGATGACCCGGTTTTAAACTCGAGGTAAAGTGACGATTTAGAGAGACAAAATAAGTTGCTGTTTACTCCGAGATCTGAGTGTAAATTTTTGGTTGTGTTATTCAGCCAAAATATAACCTAAACTAACCAAACCAAACCTAGCCTAACGTAACCAAGTCATTTACCTAATATATCTTAATCCAGACAACTTCATAATCGAACTTAACCTAACCTAGAAAGTTAACCATTATCCACAAAAGAAGATATAGAACGAAGCAGAGTAATTTCGATCGTAAAAATCCCAACATAATTATGAAATTTAAAAGCAACTAGATTCAAGACCAGAACTTCTACAGTTATGCTTCAACTCACTGTATTGGAGCCTTCATTAAAATATAAAATGTGTTGTCTAGTGCAGAAACTAAGATATAGTGAAAGGTGTCTAATTATTCAGAGTAATATCAACTTTCACACCTGTATATATTTAAATATCTCTTATATTCATCAAGGAATATTAACATTCACCGGTGAATTTAAAATCAATTTCTACTCGTGTCATAGTTATCAGGTCACAGGAGTAAATCAGAGTTATCAGGTCACAGGAGTAAATCAGAGTTATCAGGTCATAGGAATAAGTGGCCACTGTCTCTACCTCTCACACACGTCTGTTACCACAAAGTATAATATTCATTTGACATTTAATTAGCTGTCCATTCAAACTAATTCTCCTTGTAATACTTATCTTTAATAATTTGACTACTACTAATAATAATAATTGTAAAAGATAATAATAATAACTACACTAATCATAATAGAAGAATCAGTGCTTTAACTTCTAAGACTTATCCCCCGAGTATAATATTTATATTATTTGTGTAATGTAGATTTATAAATTATTATTCTTTTCACTTACTGGTTTCTAATTTACGAGAACAAGAATGAAGGGTCGTTTTCCATAGAGAATGGATGATACAGTAACCTTCGCTGGCGCAACTTTAAGTGAAAATTAAGTGGATAAAGAAACAGTGCTTATGTACTAAATTGTAACATGCTCGATAGCTCAATAAATACATGGTATATATAATATTCTGTACATAAAGGGAAACAAGATTCATATTTGATAAGCAGCTTCTCCGGTGTTTGTGGAATTTTTTGGAGATATATAATTTGTTTGGAGAGGAAAGTTATTTACATGAGAGCGGTGACTACAGGAAGGGGTGGTAGCTATAGACTGGTCTAGGCAGAGCGGTCATGGTAACTGGGTGTGTATGATCACTGTACGCGAGTTACTGGGGGAAGCCGTATAATCGCCTGGGTGATGGGGCGTACACGGGAGTCTCCACAGACTCCTCAGACTGAGGGGCGGGGTACCGGGGCCTGGGTGGGGCGTACACGGGAGCCTCCACAGACTCCTCAGACTGGGGGTCGGAGTACTCCCTGGACTCTTCAGACTCGGGGTACTGAGCCTCACTCTTGTACTTGACCTCGGCCACGTAGCCTGAGTCACCGTTCACGTAGTAAGTCACAGTCTGCAGACGACCGTCGGGAAGCTGCACGTAGTACGACCCCTACGTGTTGTCACCATTACGAGACTCTTGGTGACCGAATTCGTTGCCGAAGTAGTCGTCCTTTACAGCGTAGGTAAAATCATACTTGGCTGGCTCAGATTCTTCTGCCGAGTATTTTTCCGATTCCTGACAAGACAAAAAGGTATCATCTAACTGGTACAGGTAACAGTTACTATCAGCCGACTGTCATATTATGTTTCACTAACATGATAAGGGCGGGGTACACGGACTTACCTGAGGGACGTTGTAGGAGTAAGCTGGGAGTCTGGTTGCGGCAGCCACCGCCACCACACCCAGCAGGAGAAGAACCTAAAGCACGAGAATTTGTGCTTAATGTTAAATTACAGGCAAGTGTATGAAATGAAAATATTCAGGAGCTTACTGCCTTGAAGATCCTTGGTGAAGAACAGAAAACAAAATTATTGTCAATATTTGGTAGTTCAGAGTGATTATTGTACAGGAGAGTCAGTATAAGCGTAACTTTGTTAATAATAAAATCATTTTTAGTTTTGCCCATCGGTGTGTTAATGACAATTAAGTGTAACATAACTTTGCCAATCATAATTCATTATGTTTTGCGAACTGTAAACAACTGATCTGACTTCTCATTCCAATTAATATTTGATGTCACTCCAGGTAACTTTGTCATGAGCTACAACGGTAAGAGGTATTTTTATTCAAGTCTACTCTTCTATTTTCCTCTGTCCAGCCACCACGAAGCTTACCTTAGTGTTCATGGTGTTAACTCAGCTGAGGGTCAACTGTGGTCAGACTAACCAGCTGTCCCACTATATAGTAAACCTATGATCTTGCTGGTCACTTTTTTGCTGTATTTTAGGGTCCATCATAAAGACATCAGAGGAGCCACTCCTCCGCCCTTCCCGACGCCACATCTCTCCCCTTCTTACTTTCCACCTCACGACTTGCCTCCTAACGCTGCTGTGTTTGATGTTGAAAGTCAGCAATACTTGAGGATGTTTATACTTGACTGCCCAAGTTTCCCGTAAGTCAATATTAATCATATATATATAAATCACAGAGTCAGTCCAGGCGAAACACAAAACACGGCTGGGAAAGTCGGCGTCGTGACTAAGGCAGCAAGGTCGAGCAAAAGGAATCCTTATCTCCCTAATTGGGCCAGCTGGGACGCCCTCAGGAAGGTAACCGTGAACCAAAAGTTCACCAGAAAATTACATAACAAAGAACATCGGAAAATCTGTCAACATTAAACAGTTTCCTTGAGTTTATGACAGTAAACAGAATCATACATTTACGATGTCATAAATATTTTAATTGCTTGGGTCAGAATGTGTTTGTAACGTTGGTGTTTTAAGTGTTAATTGTCGTGCCTGAGACTCACGTGGGGAGAGTTTATGTAATATTTGTCCAGCGTCGACCATCACAACCTGATTGACTCTTATGTGTTGTGAATTTCCCATCGCCTACTGTAGCCTTCTCTCTCTCTCTCTCTACACATACACACACACACACACACACACACACACTTGTATGATAGTTTTAGTAATTCGGTTACGCTGGCTTTTATATAAATTCACCACTAATTATTTATGTACTGTATAACATAACAAATAATATTAGTGTTGCTTACCTTTTACTGAAATGTATTGACGCCATCCTGCAAGAGAAAAAATATACCATTAGTTACAGTGTATTGGTCAAATAAACACCTGAGCTACCTACCTGTGTATTGTAAGTTAAATGTAATGAAATTAATCCTCTTGCAAACAGGTTTAAAATGGGTTATTCATAAAACAAATACTAAAACAAACACTACAGCCAGTGCTAAAACAACATTTCTGGTAGATTAAATTCACTATTAATGTTATGTAGTATACAGGTACACGAGCACCATGGGGGTAAGATTATCACCCTGGCTTTAGGAGTCTACTGGTTGAGCTCACATCCTTACTGAGGGGAAAGTGCGAGTGATATCCGATCCCGAGACTCATTAATCCACACAGACTTGTACCTAGCCTAACCTAACCTATCTGGCTCACAAATACCTGGACCATAAGTGGAAACACACCTGTTTTATCTCAACCTGTGTATGTGATATGTGACGACAGGTAAACTTGTCTGCTGCCTTGAGTTGTGTCTTACATATTTCTGGGTGTACTAGATAACCTAACCTAGTACTGGCTCTAAGTTTACTATTGGAAGCTTCTTTAAGTGAAGATCCTTTATTTCATGCACGATAACATAGCCGATGAAACTGGACATATTCTGTTATTATTATTATTATTATTATTATTATTATTATTATTATTATTATTATTATTATTATTATTATTATTATTATTATTATTATTATTATTATTATTATTATTATTATTATTATCGTCGTCAAAGAGATTGTTACCATTATCACAAATATATTCTACTTTGACTGTACATCTAAATAAAGGTCAAGGAGAAATGATAGTTTGTTTTGGTTGATCTGTGAGAGACATAGATAGTGTCCAGCTGCTGTGGTAACCTTTACAACCCACACTAACGAAAACAACACCAAACCAAATTCATTTTTGACTGTATATAAATGTGTTGCGTTGTATATTATATGATTTCGTTCTTAACACAAATTGGATTATGAAAAACTATTAAATGGAGAGGCCTTGACTTAGTATGTGTATTGCAGTTAATTGAAGAAAAACATTATAATTGAAATGTTGTAAGTATAATGTGAGAGTTGTTTGTGAGTGTTATTGAATATATATAGATGTGGTGTGGTTCTTCCCGGTCGTTCCTCCCGGTAATATGGTTCCCCTAGCCGTTCCTACAGGTAATATGGTACCCCTAGCCGTTCCTACCAGTAATATGGTTCCCCTAGCCGTTCCTACAGGTAATATGGTACCCCTAGCCGTTCCTACCGGCTCAGTAGCATCAGTTGACAATAATTATAGAGGTAGAGGCCGAATAAGAGTGATTATAGTGACTTATATACTTCAGTGAGCTAACTCTCCCTCCCAGCCGGCTCCCTTCCTCCCTCCTTCCCTCCAAATCACAATGTCTCAGGGAGCAGGCAGGGAGGGAGGCAGGGAGCAGGCAGGGAGGGGGGGGCAGAGTGTCGTATTGGCTACTATGTTTTGACTGTGATTAGTGATTCCAAAGTCTACTTGAACTGACCTAACTGGTGGATGTTATTTATGTCTTGGGTAGCAAATATCGATCTGATTTGAATTGTTGAGATTTATCTAAAGTTTGAAAAGTAAATAACAGAACAAGAATGCATTAGAATTAGAGTTAGATTATCATAATATTCACCAGAAGGAAGATTATCAAAGGTTCGTATATTAAAATCCTTTTTGAACTGGAGGTACAAGAACGCATACATGAGCCATTTAAACTAAGACACAAAGTTGAGATCAAAAGAGCTGCGAGATCGTACTGGGACTCACCTTAAATGGACCTTTTCTGAAACTCCTTCCAGATAAGAAAAAATATTGGTGAAACTCTTTGAAAATCTCGATCCTGGTGAAGTGGCCCCGACAGTTCACTATCAACAGTCACCAGATATTAGTGATGGTGATCTTGGCTCTTGGTGAAGTGGCCCCGACAGATCACCATCAACAGTCACCAGGCACTAGTGATGCTGATCTTGGCTTTGCTGTCAATAGAAAGCTGAAGGCTGTTGTTCAGTGCCTCCCTGACATTTAGTAAGGTCAAGAAAAGTATGTATGACATTTTGTGGTGGGCGCCTCGGGTCCATTTGACCTTATATATGGCCCACTTAAACCATTTATCGTGTTTCTTCATGCAACCGCAAATGGATCACAGTCTTGTCTTAGATACCTTCATCACATCTGACAGTCGTCCCGTGTCTCTCCAACAACGATATATAGAATACTTTCCCCAGAATCTTTATATTTTAAACTTTATTCCCTTTCGACAACCGAGTCAAAATGTCTTTTCACGGTTCCTAATTATATCTGATAATCACCACGTCCCCCCCCCCCACCAAGGTTTCATCACTATACATGTAACGGCACTTCATAAGGACTTACTAAATATTATCTTTCAGTTGTATATTATTTTTTTCAAGGGATGGTGATTATTCTTGAATTCTTCTCAATTCATGCTTCAATAAACTGATAATAGTTTATTTTCATATTTGCATCACAAAAGATTCAGTACAATGCTTCACTGATCTTAATCAAGGGTGATGTTACTCATAGTTCTTACAACCAATCTTAAGTCTAGCATATTTTTTCTTCGGATTTTTAATTAAATTTGATTGAAATTCGTTCCTGCTAATTTTCAAGACAGTCTGTCCATCCACTCAAGAGCTGTCACAGTCATATGAAGGGTAGGACACGGATTTTACAGACACGGATTTATACGGACACGAATTTATACGGACACGGATTTTACGGATACAGGTTTTACGGACACGGGTTTTACGAACAAGGATTTTACGGACACGGACGGGTTTCCACAACGTCCCACACACACTTGTTCTGGGCTATAATAAAACATGAAGGACATGTAGGGTTTTTTCATGAACTTTCTGTCCTTTATGATCACTACTGCAACATGCTGGTATAACGTGACACACACACAGGACGTATCTGGAGTGAGTTACAAGACTACAGAGGAGATACAGTACACGACTTACTGTATAATGGAGCCAGCAGCGCCTTCTGTAAGAGTATTGGCGATATGATCAGTCTGTATCTTAAGCCATCACCATCACCAGGCTCACTATCACCAACAAGATCTAAGTCACCACCACCACCATAACCTACAGTATCACTATTACCACCACAGGAGTAATAGTAACCCATCGACCATTCCCATCATCAGTACTGTAGTAACCCGAACATTAAGGCGAGGATCGTGTTATCAATAATAAATGGAATGTCAATAGCAGTAATACGTTATAAAGGAGCCATCTTTTTCAACTTTGTACCAATATGAAGTAATATTTTACGTATGTGTGTGTGTGTGTGTGTGTGTGTGTGTGTGATCTAGTACCTGGTGCGGATTGGTTGTTGTATTACCTGCATGCTGTACTTGCGTACCAAATTTGTATCACTTTGTCACCTTCACAAGAATACTTACTGGTTATTAACGCATTTATAATTATATATTAGCTGTATGTGGTATTAACTATCATTCATATGGAAGGAAATGCTCCAAGACAAATCAAGTGATCAAGCAACGAATTTATGAAAGATTAGTGAAAAAAAAAACCAGGAGGAGACTTTAGTAGGGGAGAGGGAGAGGGAGAGGGAGGGGCAGCTGGTGTAGAGAGGACTCAGTACAGTGGCAGTGTGGAGCATCACCAAACTATGTACCTTACTTGACCCAGATTATACCACGTCCCAAGGTGAACTGCATAATGATAATATTGATGACGCTACGTTCTCTCGCTGTCCACGTAACATTAGCCACAAATCACCTAAAAACTACATGTATTTATATTATTACTGTAGAATTTATTGTGATGGCCGTATCTTACCCAACATTAGGCCTATATACATCAAATAAAGTAAATACGGCTATCACTGACAAGGATATTACAGTAAATGAAAGTGCCCCTTAAATTTCTGTGAGGACCTGCAAGAATCACATAACATAGGTTTCGTAACGACCCTGTCTCACAACGCCCCTCCCTTCAGGTACCGTACAGTATATATAAGAGGAGCGGCCAGGCAGTACCAGCAGTCTTCATCACTACTACACAATGAACGCCAAGGTAACTCTCCCTCTCCTTCTCTAAGTTATATAAATAATGACTAATATTTATATGAGTGACATCAGTACCACAGTTTCTCAAGTTAGTTGCATAGTCGGTTTTATGCTAAGTGAAAATCGTTTATTATGGTTATTCATGTTAAATGCATAGAATGATTTTTAGGACAATTTATGAATGATCTATTGTATGTTGGCAATCATTCTACAGTGATTTATATGTGTTTGTTTTCTAGGTACTGTTTCTCCTGGGTCTGGTGGCGGTGGTTGCTGCCGACAAGCTCCCGACCTCCTATGGTCCACCTGCCCAGGTAGGTGTTAGGAGGTCACTTATTTTGTCTGTAATTTGCGTTCCACCGAAGAACTTACTGAACTTGATAGTAATAACGATATTGTGTTGATATACATTTTGCGGCAATAAATTAATAATGCACAATTAATACTACTATTTGACAATGGTGTATAGGTATCCAGGTACGCCTCATCTGAGGAGGAGTCTGAGCCCCCCAAGTATGGATACAACTTTAACGTGCAGGACGGCGACACCGGCAACGACTTCGCCCACCAGGAGGACCGTGAAGACGACAACACCAAGGGGTCGTACACCGTGCAGCTTCCCGACGGTCGTCTGCAGACTGTAACTTACTACGTGGACGGTGACTCAGGCTACGTGGCCGAGGTCAGCTACCAGGGTGAGGCTCAGTACCCCGAATCTGAAGAGTCCAGGGAGTACGCCCCACCCAGGCCCCAGTACTCCGCCCCCCAGTCTGAGGAATCTGTGGAGGCTCCCGTGTACTCTCCACCCAGGCGATCATACGGTGCCCCTCAGTAACTCGTCACGACCCACCTTCGAAGTCACACAACTGTAACTCACAACACGTATGCACTTTTACTAGTGTATCCTACTGCTAATGTCAAATTCTTCTTCTAATAACTTAAAGAGCGTCTTTGACTCCGTATCTCCCACATTCCTCAGTTACAAATAATCTATCTTTCCCCAGTTTGTATCATATTTATGTGTATGACATTTATGTAAGGTTATCATCATACTGTATATTGGAAATACCTCTGTATGATATATGATTATTTATTAAACTAAGAGAATTTGAATGTTAAGGCTTTATCTTTACTTAACCCAGAAACTTGTCCTTTTAAAACATAAACAAACTGCCATATGAAACTTCTACTATAGTACAAAAATGTATAAATTATTTTCATCACCATCACTCACGCTGAAGGTCGCAGGAGTAAAGATGATGTGTGTAGCTAATCAAATATGTCAACAGGTTAACACATGACTGGAAAGAGCTACAATGTTCATACTCAGCTTCTGCTCATCTGTATACCTCAAGGGCCGCTTCTAATTTAAGGTAACAACAATCTTAAACTAGAATCAGCGTATACAAGTTTCCTTTAAATCGAATACTTGATACACTTCTGGACGCCAAATTCGTCCGAACTTAAGAGGCCTAAATTTCCCACCAAGTCTAAGAACACCCGTCAGCCCCTTCAAGAGCAACAAAGGTCACACGGAAGATGGAATAGGTCGAGACATACATGGTGACGCTCGCTGTTTTGTAATACCTCTGTAGCAAATGTATATAGACTACCGATGTGTCTAATATAAATCACAAATGGGAAGAGCTTCGCTGTTAATACCTGACGTAGATACTCCTAAGACATACTGTATACGCATTTTAGTTGCGAAGGTCAAAGGTTAAGCTCACAGTTTTGAAGTATGACTTAACAACTGAAAGATTCAATTTCCATTTCAACAGTCAAGTTCACTACGGCAGCCAATTAGACCAAAATGACATTGATCAAGGTTGCAGCGGTGATGGAGGCAAGACCCTACTGATGGACGTTTATCTGCAGCACCTTGCCAGACCCGACAAAAATATTGAGCATATACAGGATGAGTAATATTTCACACGACAACTACATTATTTGCTGTACTTGTAAAGACAAAAGGTGTAATTATGTCCACGGAATAACCCGAACAGGGAAATAACTGCTGTGTTTATATTACACCTGGTAAATATAATCACCACGACAACCTTCAGATGGGCTAACAAGTCAGAGATCAACGTCACCTTCCGGCTTCAGTTGGCACCTCGCTGGAATATTGTCTAATTATAATCTTCCATCTACACTGTGCTTGGATAGTCACACTGGATAGTCACATTGGAAGTTTATCTTATATTTTGGGATGGTTCCTCGACCTGATCTATCAAGAACTCACCTTTACCTGTCTCGGGTTAACAGCTAGGTGGTGTCAGGTAGTGGCACCAGGTATAGTAGGATACGGGTGATTTTCACTACTAACTCTTATGTGAATTTGTCCCTATTCATTCATTTAGCCTCTACACAGCTCTTGGTATGTCTCTATCTTCCCCCCGCTAATTTTTCTCCATTTTTTCACCTCTAGTATGACAACATCTATGACGTATAACATTCTATCATCATCCTCACAACTATGTCTCTTCTCCTGAGTTGTATGATGGTAAATGTTTGTACGTAAAATCCCATAATATCTTTCGTTAGTGTTCGTATTAGTTCCTGAGACATTTCACACCGCATTTCTTAACATTGCTCAAATTTATAAAGCTTTTAACGATAAATTATAGCCACCTGATTGGATAATTTGTTCCTCAATAAAAATTTCATATCGTGAGGCAAAACGGAGCAAAAGGTCACCAGCAACACTTATAGAAGGTAATATGATCTTGGTTCTGGTAACCCATGTGGCGGTCTCCTCTCACCCACCATAGATGATACCACAGTTTTTGTTGGCAGCACGACCTTGCCATTGGTGGAGTGACTCAGACGGAATCACCTCGTTATCATGGTCACGAACATTAATGGCTATACTGTAACTATTACTGCTTCATTAACATTAATATGTGAATTATGTCTATAAATATCTACATTTGCTATATTCTCATGTCATTTGGTTTATTAGAAATACTAACTGGGGTATTCCGTGTTGCCTGGGGTTATTTTTTAGAGACACAACATAGCTCATATCCGTGGCAACACACACACACACACACACCTGGGGCATCCTTCGTCAACCTATACGCCCTTGAAATAAATGAAAGTGCCCCTTAAAGTTTTCCGAGGACCTGCAAGACATAAAAGTACATAGGTTTCGTAACGATCCTTTACTAGGTAAAAAACTTGTCCCACAACGCCCTTTCCTCCAGGTATATATAAGGGGAGCAGCCAGGTAGTAGCATCAGTCTCAATTACTACTACACCATGAACGCTAAGGTAACTCTCCCTCTGTCTTAATCACCACTGGGCCTAGCCTGTGGTTTCTGTGTGATATTCGTCAGTTCACTGGTTTCTTAAAGTGGTTACAACAGACGCTATATAAACATAACTATTTCATGGTCATAAGTTAGGAAATGCATCTACAACCAACTATGATATACTGTATGTTTCAATAAGTTTTGTAAAAAATCTTAATTCATTTTTCTTTATAGGTCATCTTCCTCCTGGGTCTGGTGGCGGTGGTTGCCGCAGACAAGCTTCCTACCTCCTATGGTCCACCTCCCCAGGTAGGCCTTTGGAAAACTATTTTTTTGAATACAGCGTTATGAGTACACCTGAATTTAATAGTTGCAGTAACACGAATTGATATATTTTATTTACGAAGATTATAAATAAGTTTTCTATTACGGGTATGTACTTATACTGTTTGACAATGGTGTACAGGTATCCAGGTACGCCTCATCTGAGGAGGAGTCTGATCCCCCAAAGTATGTCTACAACTGGAACGTGCAGGACAGCTACTCTGGCAATGACTTCGCCCACCAGGAGGACCGTGAAGACGACAACACCAAGGGGTCGTACACCGTGCAGCTTCCCGACGGTCGTCTGCAGACTGTTACATACTACGTGGACGGTGACTCAGGCTACGTGGCCGAGGTCAGCTACCAGGGTGAGGCTCAGTACCCCGAGTCTGAAGAGTCCAGGGAGTACGCCCCACCCAGGCCCCGGTACTCCGCCCCCCAGTCTGAGGAATCTGTGGAGGCTCCCGTGTACTCTCCACCCAGGCGATCATACGGTGCCCCTCAGTAACTCGTTCACGAAAGAGGACATACGACTATACATGTTTTAACACCATTGTTTCCTAAGACTATTTTCAGTCATGAAATTTTTGTAAATTATTCCAAATTATGTTTATCTCCAACTTCAAATATCTTTAAGAATTTCTCAGAATTTATCTCTTACTTTCTTCAGATGGAGATAATATTCTCTTCTTTCTTTAATCTGTATTGCACTTTCTCGAGTGAAATTTCTCTACTATTATATGTACCATTATCTTACTGTGAATATTTATTAAACTGAATAAATTATGAAGAATGAACATTGTATTTTCCAATTAAACCTAATTAATATGACACAGAACGTTAAAACAAACATGAATATATATTTCTCGACAGCCACAGTAATATAAAATATTTTTACAACGAATTTTGCCGATGGTGATGCGTGAGTTGAGTAGTAATTATGTCAACCCTTCTGGGGGAAATATATTGTTTTCTCTGTTTCTTTTCTCTTGTTACCATCATTGTGCGTCTAAGTGTAAACTAGCTTACACAAAAAGTATACAGTGTTTATACTTGGCTCTTTAATCACCATGACTTTACATAACTGTTTTTTTTTTGGTCGAGTCAAAAGATAAATGTCAAGGTCCCAGTTTATTTGTATAAGTTAGCTTAAAGTCAAATTCGCTAAAGATATACAAATACCATTAATCCTAAAGTTGAAATAATCAGATACAAACTTTTACCACAATTGACTAACTATTTAAGGGATATTATATCTCTCGTCCACCTCTTAAGGATACATACACGATGACTGGAGCGGTCTACACACCCCTGCTGATTCGGGATAAAACAACCCAGGTAGACTATGTGTAGCCCTTGATACATAGATAACAGTCGGGTACAGGACGAATCACAATGTTTATATGTAGCTCGTATGGTCAGTGTAACAGTTCCTTGTCCTTGTATATATTCAGTTTCAATGGTTAAAGGTAAAAAAGGTCACAGCTTAGAATAAAAACCCCGAGATTTGTCCATAATTTAGCTCAAGAACGCAAAGAGTTTCACTAGTGACACATCTTAACCACGACAGTCTCCTGGGCTGCTGTTTTACGGTCCAAAGCTCAAAGGACAAGTTAACATCCGACCCGTAATATAAATATGATTACAGAAACACATTAAAAACTGGATTTGATACAGTGTTTATACCTGGAGTCAAACTTTTATGACCACAGCGCCTGCAGCAACTGTGGTTTTATGGTTAACAGGTTAGAGGTCAGTGGCGGCTTTGAAATAGGCACCACATATGAGTTGGCACCGTGCTTGAGCGCAGTCATGGCCATTATTATTATTATTATTAATCTCTAAGCATCAGTCTCCTTCACTCACACTCTATCTCTCACGGTGTTAACGTCTCAATAGTTATTTATACATGGAGTCTTGTATAATGTGCGCCCTTGCAGCCAATAAAAGTACGTGTTTAAGTTTTGTGAAATTTCCTCAGCACAAGAGTATAATTATAAAAGTTGAGTAACAAACCACAACCAAAGGAAAAATATACCCTCCAGTGTTCCTCCCGTCAGATATAAGTAAGAGGAGCGGCCAGGTAGTAACGTTAGTCTTAATCAGTACTACAACATGAACACAAAGGTAACTCTCCCTCTCTCTTGTAACTAATGTGGAAGAGTGTTATCTGCATGAGCCTCTTTTGCTCGTTTTTTTTCATAATATTTATAATGCACTATATAGCGAACTGAAAACTTGATCATAATTAACGTACATTACCTTGAGCATAAAAGTAATTCGGATTCATGCATCTTCGGAAGCATTAAAGAGGAAATCTTATGAATGGTGTATGGAACTTAATAATTTAGCCAGCGTTCTGAAGTTATCTAGGTACTGTTTCTACTGGGTGTGGTTGTGGTGGTGGCTGTCGCGGATGATATTCCCACTTTGTATGGTCCCCCTCCCCAGGTAGGTCCTAAGAGGGATATTTTCCGTATAAATGAATTTGCGTTCTGCCGAATAATTTATTGAGTATATCAGTATAAAAACTATTGCCTTTTCTTTGCAATGGATATAAATTAACATTGGATAATTAATAATTAACTATATGACAATGGTGTACAGGTATGGCTATGAATGGAACGTGCAGGACGGCTACTCTAGCAGCAACTTCGCCCACCAGGAGGACCGTGGGGACGACAACACCAAGGGGTCGTACACCGTGCAGCTTCCCGATGGTCGTCTGCAGACTGTGACTTACTATGTGGATGGTGACTCAGGCTACGTGGCCGAGGTCAGCTACCAGGGTGAAGCTCCGTACCCCGAGTCTGAAGAGTCCAGGGAGTAAGCCCCACCCAGGCCCCGGTACTCCGCACCCCAGTCTGAGGAGTCTGTGGAGGCTCCCGTGTACGCCTCACCTAGACGATCATACGGCTTCCCCCAGTAGCTCGTGCTCGATCCGCCTAAGAAGTCATTGAGCTACAACTCATAGTGCACATTCACTTAACTAATGTATCCTACCACCAATCTCAGTCATCTGTTTCTGAGAACTGTACTTTAAGTAACTTGATTCTTATCTCAGACTGTTTTGCTCTCACTTTCTCTTGAGACAATGTTTCTATCCTTAGATTGTATTATACTTTTTCAGCATATGTTTTTGTATTGTGATTATCATTTATTGTAAATAGTATTTCATATTTGTGCTTATTTAATAAACTGAATGCATTTTGAATTCTGAAATATATTTATCTTTAATCACTTTAAAATGAGTTGAAAAATATTGATGAACATAATATATATGAAACAACAATAGACAATGTTATTATCACTCAAGCTGATGGGGTTAATACCATACATAACTATAAAAGTATTTCAGATACATAACATATGCACTGACATACGGACTACCTAATACCTGGTTTCATATTCACCATAACATTAATTCAATAGTAAGTATTTTTTGTATCTGCAATAGTAGTAACAGTCAACGCAATTGAAACATTACCATCATTAACATTTCTAATATCAGTGTATCAGTATACTTATTACTACTATCACCAATATCACTCTAGCTACAGATTGATCTTGAATAATAACAGAAGGAAGAACACCAACCATCACTCTCCACCATGTAATCTTAAATCATAAAAAACCTAATCGTCAGTCACCCTTGCTCGTTTAGAGGGTTGACAGACTCTACCTTCTACACCGCCGCCTTCTACTTGTCTTCACTGGAATGCTGTTTGGATCTCACCTCCCTTTGCCCCACCCGTCTGCTCAGGGGTTGAAATATTCTCTAAAGGACTTCCCCGACCTTGCTCTTTATCCACTACCAAGTTTAGCACACACACACACACACACACCTGGAGACACTACTGACCACCAACAAAAACTGCTGCTGGTCATCCCCGGTGAAACAACACAAAGGGCGAAGGGGATTATCAGTGTCATCCTGGACTATGAAGGTTAACCCAAGTCCTCAAACACATTGTATTTACCGCCCACTACTCTCCAGTCATTACTTTATCTGTCACTCAACCCTCACTCTCAGACATTTTTTACTCAATATCTCTCCCACTATCAATACCGTTCAATGTTTTTACTTAAGTACTTCTACACATCCTCCTCCCAGGGCACATTTTAGTCTCCCTACAGTGGAACAAATTCTGACCGTCACTCAATCCAGGTTCACTAGTGTAGGAGGTTTGGAAAGGGATGAGAAGCAGTTCTTTGGAGATACTGTACACATCTTCCTCCTTCTCTCACACAATCACACCAAATCAATTGTGTGGAGGCCTGGTGGGCATATGAGGGTATTCTTTAACACTGTAAATGCAACCTCTTATTGTTACCTCTATATCACCCCGAGACCATCACCCTACATTTCAAGTTTAATAGAGCTCGAAGATAACTCATGGACGGACGAAATGAGATGCAAAACGGGCAGACTAACGGGGACGCAAAACGGGCAGACTAACGGGGACGCAAAACGGGCAGACTAACGGAGATGCAAAACGGGCAGACTAAAGGCGACATTTATTCAGTCTTATATGAACTTGGTGACGTATTTGAGTTATGGGGACACATATGTAACGATGACCACCCAGTTACCACAGTGAATTATATTATAGATTTTATAAGCTGTATGACCCCTTGTCCTTAGTGCTGTGGCTCAGGTGAAATCCCTTCGTAGAGATGCCATGTTCGAGGAAATTCGAGGCCATAGTGACATTACTGTAGTTACATTAATATTAATTTATGACTTGATTTTCTGAGTTATGTTGTACAATACCTTCCCCCTCATATTATTTTCAAGGTCGATATTTTAGGTTTTCCAATATTGCTTCGTTAAAAAAAACCCAGTTTGTGTTTATTATCTTCCGGAGCCTGACTCACAGTTTTAATTACCATGAATCATCAGAAAAACAAAGATAACATCCCCACAGTCTCCAAAATATCCGTATACTGTAGTTATATAGTATCATATGCTTCATCCTGTACACTGCAGAAAGCCTGAAAGCAAATGAAAGTGCCTTTTGAAATACTGTGTAAAGACCTCCAAGAGTAATAACACGGTACATAAAAATTTCGTAACAAACCACAGCCAAGTGAAAAACCTGTCCCACAAGGCTTCCCCCATTAGGTATAAATACGCGGAGCGGCCAAGTAGTGCTATCAGTTAACAACGCCGCTACTACACCATGAATACCAAGGTAACTCACCCTCTCTCTTCCTTTTATAACTTTAGTGAATCTTACTGATGACTTTTAAAGGAAGAATACACTGACGCAAGAATATTTTTCAACTTCTCCCATTCACATTAAGAAACGGTACATGGCATTATGAAGTTTGTTGGTGATTAATGGGTAAGGAATGCTCTAGATAGTGATACAAACTAACGTTAGTGATACATATCTTAGATTTTTCTTGTAATCAACTGTGGCTCTTATTCTAGGTACTTTTTCTGCTGGGTGTGGTGACTGTGGTTCTCGCAGACCGGCCTTCTAATTCCTACGGCCCACCTCCACAGGTATGTCTTAAGCTATTCTAATTATATACTATGTAATGATATAATTTCTACTAAAATATTTACCGAGGAAAATAATGCTAAGAGTGTTGTTGACCTTTGGCTATGACGAGTTGAAATTAATTGAGAAGTATTCATACGATTTTTTGACAATGGCGTACAGGTTCCCCGGTACGCCTCATCTGAGGAGTCTGAGCCCCCCAAGTATGTCTACAACTGGAACGTGCAGGATGGCTACTCTGGCAACGACTTCACTCACCAGGAGAACCGTGAAGACGACAACACTCAAGGGTCGTACACCGTGCAGCTTCCCGACGGTCGTCTCCAGACTGTGACTTACTACGTGAACGGTGACTCAGGCTACGTGGCCGAGGTCAAGTACGAGGGTGAGGCTCAGTACCCCGAGTCTGAAGAGTCCAGAGAGTATGCCCCACCCAGGCCCCGGTACTCCGCACCCCAGTCTGAGGAGTCTGTGGAGGCTCCCGTGTACGCCCCACCCAGGCGATCATACGGCTTCCCCCAGTAACTCACACCTAACAATGCCTAGCAGACCATACACTCCCCTGTATATTCTAGCTAATTCATCCTTCAACTTTCTTCTAATACCACAAATTGTTAAAATCTTTCTTTAGCTTAAAATCTTACACTTTATTCCCCAGTCCTGTTTATTTCTGCTTTCTATAAATCTCTTGTAATTATTTATTTATTAAACTGAATCACTCTGCAAATCACGTGAATTCTTTTCTTAATTTACCTTCATATTATCAAGCTGTATAATGTGAATTGGTTTGACAGACATCACTTAATGACGACTTATATCATCCCTTCGTTCTCCATGACAGGGGTCGGTTAGGTTAGGTTAGGTTTATAATAATATTGAGTATATCCACAAACGTTACGATGATGGTGGTTTAACCTGTAACCCTTTGAGGACGATGGCTTAACCTGTAACCCTTTGAGGACGATGGATTAACCTGTAACCCTTTGAGGACGATGGATTAACCTGTAATGCTTTGAGGACAATGGTTTAACCTGTAACCCTTTGAGGACGATGGCTTAACCTGTAACCCTTTGAGGACGATGGATTAACCTGTAACCCTTTGAGGACGATGGATTAACCTGTAATGCTTTGAGGACAATGGTTTAACCTGTAACCCTTTGAGGACGATGGATTAACCTGTAACCCTTTGAGGACGATGGATTAACCTGTAACCTTTGAGGACGATGGTAAAACCTTTGAGGACAATGGGACTTTAACCTGTAACCCTTTGAGGACGATGGATTAACCTGTAACCCTTTGAGGACGATGGATTAACCTGTAATGCTTTGAGGACAATGGTTTAACCTGTAACCCTTTGAGGACGATGGATTAACCTGTAACCCTTTGAGGACGATGGATTAACCTGTAATGCTTTGAGGACAATGGTTTAACCTGTAACCCTTTGAGGACGATGGTTTAACCTGTAACCCTTTGAGGACGATGGATTAACCTGTAACCCTTTGAGGACGATGGATTAACCTGTAATGCTTTGAGGACAATGGTTTAACCTGTAACCCTTTGAGGACGATGGATTAACCTGTAACCCTTTGAGGACGATGGATTAACCTGTAATGCTTTGAGGACAATGGTTTAACCTGTAACCCTTTGAGGACGATGGATTAACCTGTAACCCTTTGAGGACGATGGATTAACCTGTAACCCTTTGAGGACAATGGTTTAACCTGTAACCCTTTGAGGACGATGGATTAACCTGTAACCCTTTGAGGACGATGGATTAACCTGTAACCCTTTGAGGACGATGGATTAACCTGTAATGCTTTAAGGACAATGGTTTAACCTGTAACCCTTTGAGGACGATGGATTAACCTGTAATGCTTTAAGGACAATGGTTTAACCTGTAACCCTTTGAGGACGATGTATTAACCTGTAACCCTTTGATGCTGATGGTTGTCTGAGTAGAGTTGTCAGCTTATGGTCCCACATGAGGTAAAAAGAGAAAGGCGTTCACCAAGGCTTAAAGTGGTGACCTTCTCTTCCCGGTAAGTTATCATTATTTCCCCGGTACATGAGCAGTGATTGGTGAGAGAACCGTGCAGTTTTATTCTCATCTCACTTGCTTTTATGAGCCTTGATTGCCATTGGTGAAGCAGACGGGGTTAGATATGAGTGTTACTTTTACTTTTGTTTTATTTTGTGACTGATATGGCAACGATCACTAGGCCTCTGTGCTTGGTAACTTTGTGTTGCTTCATAATGGGGCTGACGGATAGAACTTTCTTCTACTTTCACGACGTTCATTGGTTAGATTGACGCCACTTTGTTTGTTTTAACGACGCTGATTGGTTAACTGATTTGGTTAAATATTCAGTACTATTGAATCACGTGAAGATTATTTACCCGAGCTTATTTCACCTGATGATTAACCGCCCTAGAAAAGTGGGGGAGAGAAACCATAAGAGGGAAGTTTAGAAAGCCTGTCAATTGCTTTGGAGATGTCGAGGACCACGACGGAAGTTTCCCCATAGTCCCTAAGAGAGGATGACCATAGATGTGTGCAGTAGGAGAGCAGATCACCAGTAGATCTCACCTGACGAAGGCCTTACTGTTGCCTTACTGTTGTGTATGATGACAGGGTACCAGAGCGGCCAAGGTGGTGACGTCACAACCACGCACCTCGACCTCACCCCAGAACACACACTTATCACACTCAAATAACAACGATCTATTTTCTAATAATGAATATTTTGTATCACTGTGAATAATTGCTCTTAATATTAGCCACTCTTTTAAATTAAATGAATACTGGTGAGTTAACATGGCCAGAATCAAGTCTCATCAGAAAAGTATTACATTTCTTTCCCCCATAATGTCACCACAATACCACCACAATACCACCACAATAACACAGATTAACCACCTTAACGCTATGTGGGGGATTAGCTTAAGTTAGGTTAGGTTAGGTGAGTGTATGGCTGTTTAATTTTTAGGTGACGGTACAATAAAGCTTTCACCTTAACGCATTAACAATAGAGAAACTGTTCCATCACCAACAGTAGATCTTCCTCTATAACTCACAGCTAGACGGGAGAGTAACTTAAACAAGAGTAATATTTAAGAGCGGATTCAGCGGACGTACCATGCTGCTGATGCACAAGTGTTGAAGGGAGCGGTCGGGTCCGGTCACTGCTCCATTGTGGGAAAGTTCTTAAACACCAGTGAGAACAAATAACATATATCTGGGAAAGCTGACTAAACTAACCTAACCAAACATCTTTTTTTTTAAGGATGTGTCAGTACTGGGGGAGATGTCACGTGTCATCTGTCAAGTTAAGTCACTCGCCGTGTAAAAGTCATGTGCTTCAACACCCAGGGAGTGATACCAGTCAAGTTGAGAAGGTCTGGCACGTCCACCTGGCGACGCCCTGCGTGGGCAATGCCTTGTGTCAAATTTGTGTGTTTGTTTGTTTATATATGCCGTAAGGAACAACTTTTTTTTTATTAGGAACAACTGGGCCTAAAGACTCAGATTGGGAGTGGTGCTGAACGGGTGTGTGAAGATCCGGGCGAGAAGTACAGTTGTCTTGGTCAATAACACACACGAGTAACACAAGTAAAACAGATGTGACGACCTGGAGGTAGAGCCCTTCACACTGGATATAAATAGGTCTAGAATAATCACGTGTAGGAAGATCATGACCTAACCTACCCATAAGAGGGACAAAAAATATAAAAGATTCATGTTTATTGTCTTGATATTTATTACTTTTTTTTTTACTTGAAAACACGAAAAAAGATGGCGGCCACAGCAGTATCGAAAATGCTTTAAAAATTTCACCGTATTATAAAACGAGGTGTATGAGAGTGGGTACTGGTATCAGGTTGAGTGTATGAGTAACCATGAAAAGATCCAGAGTATCCAGAGTGAAAGGTCATACGTCAGTGGCTGCCGTCAACCCAGGTTAATAAAGCATGATTATGATCGTAAAATTACATAATGTTTTGTCTAATATCTGTGAAACTTTAACAAAAAACGATTGAATTTTATCACACTGGTAAAATGGAATCTCTGGCAGATAATAATATTATTCTTAACCCTAAATTCTTGAGTAATACAATGAACTGAGGACACACACACACAAATTATGAGATTAAACACCATGTTTTTGTGTTCAGTATATGTTTCATTTTGAAAGTGAAACTGATGAGGTAAGGAACCAGGGGGTGGGTCTTTGTAACCTTTGTCACAAGAATGAAGGTCACCTGGAGAAACCTGTCCTGCATTGTCCAGGTATAAATAGAGGCACCAACCTGGTGGTGGGCATCAGTTGTTAACACTACTGCACCATGAACACTAAGGTAGGCAGCTCTGGTAGCAGCTTTATCATCTCACTGATATTATTAAATGTTTGGTAGCTGAAACCACTCATAGCTGTCATTGACCTGAAATTATTGCGACACCAGGAGGATTCATGTCTGATATATCTTGGTCTTCATCTCTGAGACAAAACTTGGGTGTTACAATACACAACCGGGGAAGGAGACGACCATAGCAAGGGTTGAAACATATCTCTTTAATGACCAGATGGTTTAAGTCCAACCTTAAGGTGAGCAGCCAAGCAGAAGAAATATTTAGCATCTGTTTTGACTGTTCATGAATAAGGTGATGATGATTGAATATTATGTTAATTATTTTTTTCAACAGGTACTTCTCCTGCTGGCTGTGGTGGCCGTCGCTGCCGCAGACAAACTCCCCGCGACGGGTTATGGAGCCCCGCCGGTAAGACATGAGAACCTCCTACATGATTATTAACACTTTAAGGAGTAGTGTCGAACTTAATGTTTTATTCTGGGTAACGCCAGATGATTCTATTCAGCTGAGACAAACCCTTACCACTCGGTGGGTTAATGAATATTTAATACTGAGAATACACTTTATATATCCCTTTATGGGAATCTTAAGATATGGCGCATAATCATTTTTCATATATAAATTAAAATATTTGGTTCTGCATGATAAGACATACTCTGATGGGTTTTGCTTTCGCTTACAGGCCTCATCCGAAGAGCACGAGCCTCCCAAGTATGCCTACGAATTTGCAGTGCAAGATGGAGAATCTGGCAACGACTTCGCCGCACAGGAGAGCCGCGACCTCGACAACACCAAGGGGTCGTACACTGTGCAGCTTCCCGACGGTCGCCTGCAGACTGTGACTTACTACGTGGACGGTGACTCAGGCTACGTGGCCGAGGTCAGCTACCAGGGTGAGGCTCAGTACCCCGACTCTGATGAGGTCAAGTCCTACGCCCCACCCAGACCCACTTACAGCGCCCCCTAAGTTAGTGGAGACTACCGTGTGGCCACCACCAGGATGCCACCTCGACCCACCAACAACCACGTACACTCTACCACTGTTACGAGCCTACAGTCAAATGAACTAGAAAATTATTCTTTAAAGGAATAATTTTCAAAACGATATAGACCTATGATTTGTGATGTTCAAGTTTTTTTAAATCAGTTTAATGACTGATCTCTTCCATGTTCTTAGCTTTCACCTTTATTGTCAATGCTTGTTGATTGTGAATGTCGTCATAAACTATTTATTAAACTTTACGCTATTTAAAGTGTTTTTTAAGTTCACCTTATTCACTAAAAAACGTATCTTCTTTTGCTTTAGGAGTGATACTTCAACATAATAAATCAATCAGGGTTGGTGACCGCGGTCTTCCACTCTAAAATGATTTCGCGCTGTTTTCACCAATACTCTTCCTACAGTTTGCATATCTCTGGGGACCACAACTTTTAATGCGATTCATCCATCTCATTCTCTGCCTTCCACTGGCCCTGCTGCCCCTCTGTTTTGCATATGAAAATTTCTACCAATATTTCTGTTCTCACATTATTAGGGAAATTATCTTATTTTCCATATTCAATAATTATCAAGCTTTTATACCAACAAATAAGTTCATCAGATTCAAAAATCGAATTGTTAAGTGACACAAGACATTTAGGATTGAGTCACACATGTTGTACACGGTAGAAATAAAGAGACTTCTAAGACAAATCATGAATATTGTTGTCACTCCACATTTCTTTGATAAATTCTTAAGATGAAAATATACAAAGGATTGTTGATGCAATGACAATATTGGTCTGACGGACAAGAACTTACAGATGCCCGCCTAATACACTGAAACAAAAATTATTCTGCATTTCTTATAAAAAGTATCTTTATATGGGAATCCATTATGCAGAACACCCGACAGCCGCACCCTTGTCCACTACCTCCTAAGATGTCCCCACACACAACGCTTCCATGACGCCTGCTGGACCACCACTCCACGACCCCCTGATGGAGACACGATGATCCTCCCCATACTGGCCAGATATTATGTAAATAATATTGATAATGTGTTAAAGGAATATCCTTCCTTCCTTAGGCTTTAGTAAGCCCCTTTATAATATTTATATATACTTGTGACACTTGCCAGATGCTTCAGGTGTTATTGTACAGGGGTACCTAGTGACAGCACAAGGATCCCGCTTCCTCTATCAAGGAATAAACTATTGAAATTGAAATTGAACATTGGAATCACATACCTCTCTCGTCAGTCACAAGACTGAGTGTAAAATGTTGTCATTTAGTCCATTTCGAACCTTTCACTTGTTAAGAGCCACGAGAATGACTGCTTAATAGCAGATGCAAGTGGAACCAAATGAGTATTCAGAAACTACAGCCTTCTCATGCAAGTCTTTGAGACAATCTTTTATATATGATTTAGGGCTCACGGTTTTATAAAATTTACGATTAAAACAACAATTTTCAATACGTTTTACTGCTCAAATATTTGCCACAAATATTCGACTCCTGGAAAAAGTAAGGAAATCGAATAAGTTTATTTTTAGGTTTACCAAGAAGCTGGATCAACAATGGGACCATTCCACTGTACGCACCAATCATCGAAAGAGCCACATCGATGGTACCAAGATATACCAAAAGTCCATTTAGTAACTCAATCCTTTTTGTTTGACATTTGAATTGAGGCCAACAAGTTCATGAAAGTAAAGTCTTGTTTTACACCCCCGCACAACACCCAGCTGTCCTTCATCTGTTTCGTCGGCTGCTGAGGAAACTAACACAAATCCCTCGTCTTTCGTTTTAGCTGGCCAGATGGAATTATCTCTCGACATATCACCCAGTAACTATTGTCTTACACGCTTTCGATGTTCCAGCATTCAATGCACACACACAAAAAAAGTTATTTAGCCGTCTTCAATTATAGAAATGTTTTGTCTAAATCTTTAACTTTTTGTTTTAATAAAAAAAACAACAAATCTTTTACACCGTATTTTCCCTGCCGACAAAGCAACCATTATAGGGCAGTGACCAGACAAATAGTGTAATCGAACGTCCTCCACAACGAGTCGATCAAATGCACTGTCAGAACTACTCGTCAACATCCAGAGCTTTAAGTAAAGGAATAAACAATATGCACGACGTAGGTTTACATACAGACGACAGACAAAACCCACAACATAAATACCGATCATCTAACGTTAGTCGCGACTGTCACTGCTACCCGGACAGGAATTTCCACAGTTTTGAAGATAAAAGCCGAAATTTGGTAGGGGGATGCACCTGGTTTAAGGAATGGTCGTGCGCTATATATCCTGTCCTTCCACAAGGGGAGGGTCCTACCAGGATTTTTTTCATTGATAAACTCATCTAGTATCGACACTGTCTATATTATTTTCATTCATAAAAACGTAAAAGAAAGACTTAAGTAATGATGCATCTTATATGAGTGTTAGAGGACTCACGTTCTTCTTGATATGAAGAAAGTTGGATTTTAATATTAAAATCTGTTATAGTTTTAGCCGTCGTTGATCTATCTTCACTTACTTATAATCAATAATAAAATTTTTCATCATTTACATGAGAAAGTTTTTGACAAATAAACAATCGAGTTTGCCTGTATGATCACTGGCAAGAGGCTGGAGGGTCTTACATCACTGTCCTCGATATTATATCCGAAGTAGCCAGCGAGGTGAGTCGTAACCTTTGTCATATAAAAGCAAGTCACCGGGAAAACCTGTCCTGCAACGTTGTGCACGTCCAGGTATAAATAGAGGCATCAGGGTGGTGGTGGGCATCAGTTGTTGTCACTACTGCATCATGAACACTAAGGTAGGCAGCTCCAGCTCTGTCTTGAGATAAACGCTCTTATTGAAGGAGTTATCTCTGGAGACTGATAGACAGATCAGAAGTATTCATCAAGTGTTATGAGTGTTGCCTCCAGTAGCCGCGGAGATGCTGAGTGACTAAGATGTTTGAGAAGATTCTTAATGTCTTCAATATTAAATCCTGAACGGAACTAAGTGCCATAGATACACGTCAACAGTATTGATTCATAAAAAATATATTCTTGACAGATATATTGTGACTGAGAAGAGACATTGGAATTATTGTTGACACAGTTACTCTTCATCTCGCATCAGAAGACACAGAAACACAGAGACATATTCCTGACATGAACGTGACCTGATAAGTTGAAGAGAGAATGAATTTCACTGTTTCGATTGTGTGTGAATGAGGCGATGTTTGATGGATAATAGGTTAATAAATAACTTGTTTTACAGGTACTTCTCCTGCTGGCTCTGGTGGCTGTGGCTGCCGCAGACAAACGCCCCGCGACGGGCTATGGTGCCCCGCCGGTAAGTCGTCAAGATTATATGATCATTTACGTGTTTCTTTGTTACTGAAGCTATACAATACAGGTTTCTATAAGAAAGTTAGTATTTTTTCTTAATATATATCAGTTTTTAATGTCTAGTCTTAAAGTTGGGTTTTGGATAACGAGAACTACGTTGTGTGATGGGATTTTACTCGGATTTATAGGTGTCATCTGAGGAATCCGAGCCCCCCAAATATGGCTTCGACTGGGCAGTTCAGGACGGCGAATCTGGCAACGATTTCGGCCAACAAGAGGCCCGTGACAACGACAACACCAAGGGGTCGTACACTGTACAGCTTCCCGACGGTCGTCTGCAGACTGTGACTTACTACGTCGAAGGAGACTCAGGCTACGTGGTCGATGTCAAGTACGACGGTGAGGCTCAGTACCCCGACTCTGATGAGGTCAGGTCCTACGCCCCACCCAGGCCACTTATGGCGCCCCCTAAGTTAGTGGAAACTCCCGTGTGGCCACCACCAGGAGGCTACCTCGACCCACCAACAACCACGTACATTCTACCACTATTTCGAATCTACAGTCATAGAAATTTTAATAATTTTATCCTGTCAATGAATAATATTAGAACAATATGGATTTGGGATATGTTATGCCTAAGCCATTTTATCTTAACCACATTCTTGAGCTCCTTACACAGTTTTGTAAATCACATTTTCTTCTTTTTTCAGACCCCAACTTCCTTATAATATTATTTTTCTGTTGAATGTGAATATCGTATATATTAAACTATTTATTAAACTAAGCAATACTTAAAAGAACCTTGCGTTATAAATTATTCCTCATCATTTGACCAGATAAATCGTGACCTCCACCAAATACCATTATTTTTTCACCAACAAAAAGCTTTAGGGAAATCAAAGCCTCTTGTTGTCAAATATATCCATCGAGGCTTCTCCTTGCCAAAGACTGAATATATTTGAAGAAGGAAAATTTGTACAGATTATTAGCACAGAAAATGACATTTTTAAACAAGAAATTCCACAAAATGTTGATCCGGGCGAGTAACTGAGGTTCGGTAGGAAGAGGTTGGGGAAAATATAATTTCAACTTTCAACTCACTAATCCTCCTAGAGCTGTTGTACACTGACTGGGGTGTGTGGTGGTGGCAGAGAACTTACTGTGGAAGCATCACTAGAATAGGGAAAGTGTTAAGGAGTGTTAGTTACATGACTAGCGAGGTTATTCTAAAACTATATCTTGCTCATGTGAGACCTCACTTGGATTATGTTGTTCAGTTTTGGTCTCCGTACTACAAAATGGATATAGAATCCTTTGAAAAAAGTCGGAGGAGAATGACAAGACTAATCCCGGGCATTAGGAACCTTGAATACAGAGACGGGTTCAAACATATTAATTTGTACTCTCTCGAGGGCTAAACAAAGGTGATATAGCAAAGGTACCCACACTATCCAACCAGGAGCGAACTCGTACCAATAGGTTTAAATTATACAAATTTAGATTTAGGCGCGAGATAGGTAAACACTGGTTTGGAAATAGAGTAGTGGATGAGTGGAACAAGTTACCAAACATTATCATTAACTGGTATACGCTGGATAGCTTCAAACATAGGTTGGATGGATATATGAGCGATAAGGGTTGGGTGTAAACGGGACTGCCCAGTATGGGCCAATTGTCCAGCTGCAGTTTCCTCCATTCATATGTTTTGTAACACTGAAGGAAACCAAATTGGACGTGAACCTCTTTCCGTTGAGGCAATGATGTCTTTTGTCTGCCATTAAAAAATCTTATCTAACGTGACTGGGACTGAGAGTGAAGGATCTATGGAGGATGAAGACGCCTGCATAAGAGAGGATAGAATTATTTGTAGCGGAACAAACATTTACGTGAATTCATAAAAGAGTTCGTGCTAA